GTAGCCAATACAAGGTATATCAGTCACACTCACCCCTTTCCTCATTTCCTTCGTCCTCAAAACGAACTAGAAATCTAAGCTAGCTGTGGGATCAGAAGCGTGCCAACACAATTGGCATACCCTTAGCCCAAGGCCACTTACCGTCATGACGACTGTCAACATTGACTCTCATGCTCCGGCCGATGTCGCCCAGTTCGTGGCCAATGCCGGAGTAAGCAAGGGCAACATGCGCCTTGATAAGGTTTTCTTCAGCGCCTTTTCTGCTGGCTGTCTGCTTGCCTTTGCCTGTGGAACGGCCTTGAGTACCAATACAACTGCATGGTTTCAAGAAAACGCGCCTGGCTTGATTCGCACAATATCCGCCCTCGTCTTCCCTTATGGTTTGTGTATGATCATTTTAACAGGAGCGGACCTCTGCACTGGATCTTTCATGGTATGCTTTCCAGACTGCTACTCTGTCAATATACTTAACCTGTGTAGTTCACCACTATTGCTGCACTCCAACGCAAACTGCCCTGGTACAAGATGCTGCTCCACTGGTTCGTGACCTTCTGGGGCAACCTGGCTGGATCTCTCTTCGTTGTGGCCATCATCTTTGGCTGTAAGCATCTCAACCCCTTGTCTTTTAGCCAGGGCTGACATCTTGCTCAAGATGGCAACGTCTTTGCTGCCGACCCCTACAAATCTGAGGTCATCGCCTTTGCCACTAAGAAACAACTCACCCCGGACTTCCATCATATTTTCCTCCGCGGTATAGGCTGCAACTGGCTTGTTTGTCTGGCTTGCTTCCTTGGTGTACAGGGCCGCGATCTCGCCTCCAAGGTTGTAGGTGTCTGGTTCCCGACCTTTGCCTTCGTATCGCTAGGCTTTGACCACGTCGTCGCCAATATGACCTTCATCCCGATGGCGATCTGGTTGGGTGCGCCCAAGATCACGGTAGGGCTGTACATCTGGAAGGGAATCATTCCAACGCTGCTGGGGAATATCATTGGAGGTGGATTGTTTGTCGGTAAGGTGCACCTCTTGCGAGTTGAGGGACAGTGGCTAACCGAACCAGGTACATACTACTGGTACATGTACCTCTTGAGCGGAGAGATGGTCACTCTCAATGGGATGCACAAGTCAGGCATGGCAACGCCACGTTCAGTGGATATCGAGGCTATGGCTGCTGAGAAGCAGAACTAATTAAAATGGCGTCTTAATTGGTTGGATTTAGCGTTATGATTCCTTATACAGTCGTTGGTCAAATCATTAATTTACGATATCCCTTAATCGGTACACAGTCAAACAGGAGGTAATCAAGACTGACCGCCAACGAGGATAAAGTCCAGGGTCGCCTCAGAGACCATACTGTATGCTTAGGCAAAGAGCCTCGCCAAGCTGTTCACCAAAGAAACGCAAGGTGGCCTCAGTAACGCATGAATAAGGGCGCGCAGAGATTCGTAGAAAGCACTAATCAAAAGAGAGAAGGTAATCCTTCAACAACAAAGGGAAGAACGCCAGATTTTCAGAATTAGATCTGGGAAGCTATCAGGCGATCTGTGGTGTAGTTTCAGCGTGTTGAACCGCAGTCAGGCAACAGTTGTAATCAGGACAAAGTGTCAAAAATATAAAATTGCCAGAGCTCGACTGTAACCGTTAATGAAAACTATCCTATTACCGGCTCATTACGTTGAGCTGGGAGGGTCGGTTAAAAGTTTAGTACGCGTTAGATTTACTTATGCCACTCTAGGCAAGGTAGGCTGTTTCTGGATAGCTACTGATCGTCATTTTCTTGTTTGAGCACTGGCGTCGGCTTGCCGCCACATTAAACTGCAAATGGCTTTTTCCGAGCATGGCACACTGTCGACTAGTGGTTGAAAATTAGTATCCCGCATATGTATCTGCAGCTGTATTACTGTCCCGTATTCTTTCCAACCACCAGCACGCTACATTCTTCTCCCACTCCAAGGATCATTGACTACCTGGCCTAGGATCTGACAGCGAGGCGCAGCACAACATGAGCACACAGGCTCGAAGAGAAATTACTTTGTGGCATAAGTGGCCATGCGGAGACTTTGCCTTTCTAAACTACTAGTTACCATATAACGCAGGAAAGTATCCATTCATAAAGCCGGGCTGCTCAGAAGGAGACCAACCAATAATTGCATTTGCATTCAGCGTAGGAAGAAACTGCTCAAGAGCAAATGTGACACCTCGAAGACGAACAACCTTCAAACTCGATGGACGGCAGGGGCACATTAGCCCTTATTGACAGATCCAGAAGTCGCCAATGAAATATCCATCAGGACAATCACAGATTCTATGCCATTTCCCTTGAAATGAAATGCTGCCTATAGTGCCAGTCACCTATTAAATGACGTAACCTTAGCCCTTCCATGCATAAATGTGATTTTGGTGAAGGTTAGCACTTACGCATCGTGCCGGGCCATTCATTATAATATCTTGGAGAGGAGCAGCCATTGCCGCGGTAGTCATGGATGCAACGAGGATTAAGAAGGATTTCATGTCTTCCAAATCTTCAGAATATAACAGGATTTTGGGAAAATGCGTGTGTGGAGCAAGTGTGTTCCAATGATTCCACCTCAAGGTGCCTGTTAAGTATAAGACTTCTGTAGAGACAAGAGATGAAATACATCAAGGTTCAAGACAGCCTGAGATGATATGCACCGTTTTATAGTCGGACCAGATTGCACATTGCTTTGTACGTGATCTTTTTGGCTTTGCTCCATTCCTTGAGAAAAAGGACACGCCAATGTTTGCTCCCTATTGGTGGGTAACTAGAAACGACATGGTCAATCAAGAACTCTAGGTAAGCCAACATGTTAAAGACGAGACTCAGGAAGAAGGAAACCATCCATATTTGCCGAGGAGTCTTCACTTTTATTGGCTACAGTCCATAGCTTGCTTGCACCAGCTGGGAAGTAAGGCTCATAATAGTCACATGGACACACCTCATCATCAACCCTTCAGGTCGGCGGAATATTGCACTGTAGGGCAATCTCAGCCAGCCTCATGTCTCATCCATTGCCTACGTGGTGCGTCGTAACGGATAGTTAATCTTGGCGTGGATGGATAGGCCGCTGCCGTCCAGAATGACTTAGTAAGCACATCAAGTAAAGTGCTAACTGTGTAGAAAGAAGACCATATTGCAGACACACCCCCTCGAAGCAGCGGAGCGCGTAATTTTGGCCTTTAAATGTATGGAAAAGGCCTGAGGACCCGCCACGAGATAGGATCATGAAGATAGGCCAATGTGAATAATGGACCGTCTACTATGTGCTAGCAAGTGGCAGGCAAGGTGAGATGAAGGAAACATGACTAACACTAAGTTAGCAAACAATAACTACAAATTTCTGCATGTGGCTCCATTCAGCGTCCATCCTAGTGGCAGATCTAGACCATCAAAGCAGAGGTTTGACTAGTTGCGTTACTACTTCAGGCTTCATGCCGCAAGCCAAGATGCAGCTAAAGCAGTACTCATGCACCTGCTTACTTTGTGAAAGTGGGAACAAATTTCTGTCTCAACTACTCTGTCATGATAGTGTCGCAAAGGCGTGCCAATAGCAGGTGTGGTTATAATCAGCTGTAGAGTGGAGATGAGCCTTCTACTACTAAACAGGTTATCCGAGTGTCAGCAGAATTAGGCCTGATAAGACAGTATATAGTTTGAATTACGCCCCGCGGACTGAACAGTGTCTAAAGAGAAGCACATCACAGGTAGTGCCAAGACAAAAACTTGAGTATAGGGCGTGTGGTGTCTTCGTCGATTATGACATTATGGCATTCCCGCATTCCTTCCTTCCCAACGCATAGAATTAGTAGGCGTGCTCGACCGGAAGAGTATAATGATTCCACAACGCTTTTAGCTGCTTAGGAAGTCCACGTCTACAGATGTGGGAGTCAATATCAGCGGTAAGACCTCGGCCCTGTGTCACACCGGTCTATCACCAACTGCGAGCTTGATGAAGCGTTCCTAAACAACTTGTACGTTGCACCTAGTAATTGGGCTCTCCATGTCTTCAGATGCTTCACCGAGCAAAGAGGAGCTTTTGTGCTCTTGCAGCAAGTGAGAGCTTGTTATCACTGTGTAATGAAACCTCTTACTACTCAGACCAACCACTTGCTGACGATGAAAGGCTCTATCATAAGTCTAATTCGCTGTGTGATGTTCCTTCGCCCCTGGGATTTCCATGCTATTGGTCCATACTGGTTCTTACAAAATCACCTATGCCTGTCAGATTGCTCTGTGCAGTCTGTGGCTGCCTAAGTATTTGCTATATGGCTAATTTAGTCTTGCTATTCCCCTCTATGGATTTATCTATAATAGCATCAAGGGTCTACCGCCTGAATATCCTCAGTCCTGACGGAGAGTGCCTCCTCAGATACCCAAGGCAAGCTGGCCAGCGATGCCTGCTAGTGGCTGAATGCTCTTGGACGAAAAGTACAAGCTCTGGCAGTATGCAGCAAACAGGCGAACTCGTATATTGGTATATACCTGATATACGTATTTCCTTCTGATGCTCCAAGACGAACCCACTAATACCCCCGGGTAGGAACTCCACAACGCCATTTACATACGTCGTCAATTTCACAACACCACCGCCGAGGCCCTGTTCTCGCTGACTGGGCCTCTTGGGGTAGTGGTTTTCTCATTTTCTGGTCCCGCGTGGATGACAACAGATCTGGTTGGAAGCCAAGCGACAGCGGCGACTATACCCCCATCGCGTTGAATACCTCGGATCCATCGAAGCCGAGGTTCCAGTTCACAAACGGCTCGCAGTTTGTGTGGGTGAACTACTTTAACGGATGGTCTGCTATCGCGTCTGCGGCAGCGTTCTCCATTGACGAGAGTCTTGTCCTGTTGTGGAAGTGGGTATGGCTTTTGTCGATGGTGGTGGCTGGGGTCTTTCACTGTAGGGAATGTAAATAATCATCTGAAGATATGGTAATAGCTATTCGCTATGAAACCACTTACATATCTCATAGAGCAACAGCCACTAAGCGTCGTAGAGCGAATCCTGCCACCTCCTATACCCCCCAAACAAATCCCCTGAATACATCCACCCCCTCCCCTCCTTAACATCAACCGCCTTGATCCTCTCAAACTCCCTCTTCCACAAGCCCCGCCATCCCCGCGGCAAATCCGAGTTATGCTCACCTATACAGAAGAGGACATACACCGCTATATTATTCTTCGCAATTTCCTCCTCCTCATCAGTGAACGCAGCGCGGAGAATATCCGGCGCCGCAAAGGGGAGTACGATGCTTTCGCCGCTGGGTAATGTACTTCGCATGGATACTGTGGCTAGGTAGCCATTTGCAGTTTGTGTCTTGGTCATTGTCAGCGAGGATTTGGTTGCTAGGGGGTGCAGTGGGTACCATTGAGTACTCCGGTTCATCCCATCCTTTGCGACGACAGACGTCTGAGAGGATGTGGATTGGCATCCCTGTTGATGGCGGCGTGTGGCATTCGCAGCCGCAGCCGCATCCGTCGGTAGCATCCTCAGGCGGGACGGGTGGAGGCCTGGGAGTCTTTTGTTTGGGCTTTTTGTTCGGCATCAATGGATATAGGATGAGTTGATTTAAGAGTTTGTTGCAGTTGTTTATGAACGATGAATTGTTCTCATGTGAGTCACGGCTGGGCTGAGGAAGCTTGGCGATAGTGGTACACCATAGCAGGCTCGTATTACCACGTGGTTTAAGGTTTCTTTGGATTCAAAGCATGATCCAGATACTCAGAGATAAGAGATGGCATGACTGAGGGCAGCTTTTATTGTGCCTGTTGATGACCGTGGTTGCGGATGAGGACATTTTTCACTTCAGTGTTTAGATGCACTTGCTGCGCATGTTGCCAATATAATCTTGTGACCTTATTCCATATAATCCTTTATATACAGTAAGTCCATATAATCCTTTATATACGTAAGTTTGCGGTATGTATCTCTGAACATGCGGTTAATCCAAGAGGCTTTGTCATCTCGAGCATCTGGCCTGGATAATTGAATCGACCCTGGTTACCACATCCTATCCATGTTCATCTGGTTCAACATATCAAACAACCCGTAATCAACCGGTAACGAGTCCAAAGCGGGAGCCAAACCCAGAGTCGACGGCAGTTCTTCTGCATACTGAGGTAGAAAATCGGTAGTTTCCCCGTTCACAAAATCAAACCCCGTAGACGGAGCTAATAGGTCATCTCCAGTCTCCTGCAGCTTGCCCTCTGTACTGCTTCCCGGAAGTGTCAGGTTATACCTCGCAATCAGCAACCGCCGCAGATTATTCCCGATATGCCGTGCAGGCTGCCACGAACCTGCCAGTTCCTCGAGAACACCCACACATATCTCCAGCCGGGTCTTCTGCGAGGGAGCTATGTCGCCATCGATGTCCTCGAGTAACACCGTCGCCGCCGAGAGCGTACAATGTGTCGCGGTTATAGGGCTGAGATGGAAACTGCCAAACCGTTGGCGGTATTTCTGGGCGATGGTGCAGATGGCGCGGGCGGAGTCGGTAGAGACGGATTTTGCTTGTGTTTGTGTTTGTCCTCGTGTGTTGGTGTCTGCGTCGCTGGAGGCAGACTGGTGCCTTACTGTGAAAGGTTTGACCAGGAGAATCCTAGCAGTGTGGTAGACCATGTGCAGGGTATATGCGTGTGGAAGATGATTTGGCTGGTCGATCCGGAGAGCTGGAGGAAGGTCGTAGAGCCAGGTTTTCAGGTCCAGAAGACAGGATTTGAGAAAGGCAGATCGTTGGTGTTGGTTGAGGCTAGGTTTTGGGGCCCACCTGCTGTTGTCAGTTTCGTCGCTGTGTTGTGGAAGGAGACGTACAAGGACATGAAGATCTTCTCGTAGATTTGGCAGATGCGGATTAAGGCTATCTGTAGAGAGAGGACGGCCTGCTGTCGGGGAGATGATGTCTCTGCATGACTGGGAAGGCTGACGGCGCCTTGGACGTCCTAAGTCTAGGTATTAGTGATTGTGGATTCTGACCGGAGGACGGGACGAACCAGCATGGAGCAGATGCGCCCTGTATAGCTCGCAGCGAGCTTGTCGTGGCAGTATAGAGTCCAGTAGATCTGTCGTCGGAGCTGGATTTCCTTAGGCGACATTCTCACGGCTTCTTCAAATGCAGCCGGGTCCAGGTTGAGTCCCATGTCGAGACTCAGCCTGTTCGCCATGCCGTGGTGCAGCCACCCGGCCGCATCAGCCCCTGTGGCCTACAGAGCAACATGAGTAAGTCTTCATCTAGTAAGGCTAGCAACTCACAATATAAAACATCCCAATAAGACCTAGTGCCTGGATAGTCGTCAGGCTCGGTCGTTCCATTTCCCGGTGCAGTATAGTCTTGGCCTGTTCGAAAAAGAATCGACCAGCTGTGTTCGGGTCGTTTGCGTCGGTACGGGTTTCAACGCGGTCAGAGTACCGTGAACCCATGGCGAGAACGCTGTACAGAAGCAGGGGCGTGAAATAGCGACCTCTGTTTGCCATGCTGTCGCGGAAGAGCTCCTCGTCCACAATCTGGTACCATGGGTGCTCCCAGGTGAAGTACAGATCGATCAAGTGGGTTTCTAGCTCTGTAGGAATGAAAGTGTCGTATGCCGTTGATCCAAAAGGCTCAGGTTCAACGCGTGGGTTCGATTCTTTCTCTGGCGTGGCACCTTGAGCAGCGAACTGGAGACGTCCACTTGTCGGCCCAAAGAATCGCATCTCGCCGTCGTCGTCAAAATTAAGAGATTCATCAAGCGCAAGATGTCCTTTGAATTGATCGCATAGAGCCTCCAGATATGATGCAACTTCTGCAGCATCCTCTCCGAGTGACTTCTCCGCGTCTGGATCAAGTCCATGTTTGGCCAGAAACTCCTCGAGGAATTGTATTCGCTGACGAAGCAAGTCAACGTAGGACTTGGATGCAGGACGTCTACCATCCTCATTCGAGGAGTATTGGCAGGAGATACTCCATTGCAGACAACGGGAGCAGGATGGTTTTTGGCCGTCGCACTTGCAGCCTACACGTCAGAGGACGGACAGATAAGAAACTAGATGCATGGCATACCTTTGCTCGCCGACGACGACACTCCTCGCATGCTTTGGTGGTATATTTCCCGCGGGATTGTTTCTTTTCAGCTGGTGGCATTTTCACTCGACAATACTTATCAATTGGAGGTTACTTAGTCCGTGGATACCAAATTCTCAATGTCATGACGACCAAATAAACTCCGCATTATTAATCAAAATCCAAGTCCCCTCTCATATCACATTCACCACTTATTTCACACAACGAATATGGCCACCAGCACGCACCGTTCTCTAATTCCATCACTAGGATATCTACGGCACATGCGCCACAACCTCAATCTCAACCCTCATATCATCCTCCCCCAACCGCGTCACCCCCACACACGTCCAAATCGGCTCATGCCCCGGAACCCACTTGCGGAAATTCCGCACCATCGCCTCCAGCGCCTCGTCGTTGATCGGAACATGGTACGAGTTCACCCGGTACACCTGGCTCCAGCCCGCGCCGCCTGCGTTCCGTAGATTCAGGTCCACGTTCGCGAAGGCTTGGTCGATTTGTGCGTTGATTTCGCGGGGGATGGTTCCTGTGGTTGGGTCCCAGCCTCCTTTGCATTCATCAGTACTGGTAATGAGGATGAGTGTTTGGGCTAGAGGGGAGGAGGGGGATACCCTGTCCGGCGCATTCGATGCGGTCGCCGACGCGGACGGCTTGGCTATATTTGAACTGGGATTGTTTGGCTTTGCCGACGCCGTCGTAGTTGTAGTAGGTTAGGTGGGACATTCTGATATTAGTTGTATTGTTACTCTAGTTAAATAAAGGTGGTTGTGGTGAGACAGGCTTTATATACCTATTGTTGCATTGGGGTTTGTAGCGGAAGATGTATTCCGCTGAATATTGTGCTGCGGATGATGTCATATATGTTGAAACATTAGATATTGATGAAAGTTATCTAAGTCATAATTCGTGAGTAGGGATGGTCTATCTATATACATGCAATGCTTGAGGTATTAAACGAAATCAATGAGGAACACCGCCAGTTCCGAACAGCTCCAGCTTGACGCGGTCCTCGCTCACGCCCTTGGACTTGAGAACATTCAGCATATCAGTCATGAACGTGTCAGGTCCGCAGACGTAATACTCCGTCGTGGCATCATCCAGGAACAAATCCTGGCTGCCTTCCAACTTGCTCAGATCCACACGGCCGCGGTACTGGTAATCATCACCCTCCTTGTCCTGCTCTGTGGGGTGGCTGGTGAAAAAGGTCGATTTGAGATGGGGCAGCTTCTGCTCCAGAGAGGTGATGTGGTTCTTGAACGCACGCGCCTGAGAGTTTCTAGCGCCGTGGATGAAGCTGACCTTCCGCTCTGGGGACTGCGAGGTCAGAGTGTTGAGAATGGACGTCATGGGGGTCAGACCGACGCCGGCTGAGATGAGGACAACGGGGTTGGCGGCCTTGGCGTCGGAGAGGAAGAAATCGCCGTACGGATGGGAGACCTTGATGGTGTCGCCCTCGTTTTTAAACTCGTGCAGGATGTTCGATACATAGCCTGGGTGCGCCTTTGCGCCGGGCTCGGCGGGGTTCAGTCCAGGCTCCTTCTTCACGCTGATGCGGTAGTAATCTGACCGAGGCATGTCGCTGAGAGAGTACTGGCGCGCCTGGAGGTAGTTGAGCTCAGGGACGTGGATCTGCACGGAAATGTACTGTCCCGGCCGGAAGGCAGGCAGAGGCTTGCCGTCCACCGGCTTCAGGTAGAAGGAGGTGATTTCCGAGGATTCAGGGACCTTCTGCGCGATGACGAAATCGCGGAACTCGGTCCAGCCTTCGGCTTGCTCGTAAAGCTGGGCCTCGCGGCCGATCATGAGGTCGGCCAGTTGCCAGTAGGCGGTGGCCCAAGCGTCGAGGATCTCCGGGGTGAGGGCGTCACCGAGGACCTGGCCCATTGCTTCGAGCAGGAATTTGCCGACAATCTTGTAGTCGTCAGGCTTGATGTATAGCGAGGCGTGTTTGTGGCAGATGAGCTCGACGGCGGGTCCGAGAGCGCCCAGGTTGTCGATGTTGGACGCATAGGCGAAGAGAGCGCCAGCTAGAGCACGAGCTTGGTGGCCGCTGACCTGGTGAGCGGTATTGAAGACATTATTCAGCTCGGGATGGGCAGTCAGCATGTTCTTGTAGAACACCGTGGTGATGGTTGTCCCATGCTCTGTCAGCACAGGCACGGTGGCCTTGATGATTTGAACTTGTTCCGGTGTTAGAGGCATGATGCAATTAGCGTCGTAGTGATTGAATACTGAATATTTGAGAACTATCAAGTGTACGGTCAAGGTCCAAGACTGCAGTATTTATACACAGCGCTACTTGTTAGCCCCTATGGTCGTGCCATATCAAAAATTTTCTCTTGGTGGTTTGGTTCCGCAGCCGAGTGATGGCGAAGATATCTCCGCGGAGGTGAAGTCAGAAACATGCAAACTCGAGCTCAGGAACGGAGGAATCAGCGTGCAGGAATAGATAAGCAAACACACTCCACCAACGACAGTTTCACTACCAGCTATCAAAGAGTTGTCGAAATCCTCTTTAACAACATTATCAGAATGATACTATTTCCAATAGTCGGTAGGTGATCCTGCACGGCACTGCTCGAGGTGCACAGGCATTCTCCAGAGTCCAGAGTCCAGACTCCAGACTCCAAATGGTCTACATCCATGCCACTCCGTATCCATCACCCCATACTTCAGGTTTCGCCTATTTTACCTCGTTTTTAATTGGTCTACACAACTAATTGCCGTTACTCAACAATTAAAACCCGAATCGCCTACCCAACGTCAGGCCACTTGCGAGCAAGATCCCCGACGCGAAGATTTTTCGGATCGGGGACTCGGTAATTTCTCGGGACCGAATGCGGCGCACAAATATTCTGATATGGCTGTGGAAGCCGAAGAACGCTAAGTGCCGTGGTGCTTGTCCTTTATTTCACCCTTTTTTCCAAATTGAGCTTAGTGTCTACAATATCCTGGGTAGCCAGGTACCAAGTGAAGTAAAGCCACAGCTATCAAACAATCTTATACGTACCAAGGTATACTAACCTACTGTCTAGGTTGCTATAGAATATAGAGAAAGCAAGGCCTTGACATGTCAAGACGGTAACTCAATCGGAGCACGCCGCTGACTTCCTGAGCTTCGTTGTCCACGGTCCTCGTGATGCATTGCTTCTGGGATTGAATCGGGACAAGGTAGCTCATGATCCTCGTGATGCGTTGCTCCTGGGAGCTCAAACTTCCCTTTCCATGTCTCGCGCATAGATACACCTGGATGAAATGATGCTCTTTTCCTCAGTAGTACAGTTCCAGCAATAAGCGTTAATCCTATAATTGAAAGACCTCCAATCACCCCTCCGACAATAGCACCTACTGGTGTCGTTGACTTTGTCGTCTCTATCGCGAGTGCAGGTGATGTCGATGTCGAGGTTGTAGGGTCTTGAAGACTGTTCGGCTTCGTTGCCGCCGGGATAGAGGTTGTGGCATTGGGGGCCGTCGTCGAGGTTGAAACTTGCTTCGACGTAATATTGAAATAGTGACAGCTGAAACGGGTCGAGCCCGGGTCACCGCATAAACCATACATATAGTAGACGCCGGGGCCTGCAAGTCCCAAGAAACTGACATTCCATGCTACGGACCCATTGTTGGGAGTGTCTGCTGCATGTCAACAGCTGGCCGAGATCCAGGTCCCGTTTGGAACGTCTCACCTGCGATTTGGCTACACAGCGCATCACGCTGAAACTGACAGTCGCCACCATTGAAATCCTTCATCAACCAAAACTGAATGGGCTCGTCGCAGCCGCTTTTCCACTTGATGTCGATCGACTGCCCGACAGTAAACGCTAGATTCGATATGTATTCGCCGGTGTAACCATTCTGTGGGGGAAAGATGAATACATCCGCGGCGGCAGAACTTTGCCGTGGGCCCGCAGTCACTATGAAAACAAAGTGAAAAACAAGGAGTCTTGTGATGCGGTAGATCCTCCCACTATGCTGCTTGAATGGCATGATTGTCAGCCATGAATAACAAGTTGGAATGTGATGGCAGGTCGAGAAGGGGAAGAGAATCGAGACTATAAATAGGTCTTACGTGAACCTGGGGACTTGCAGTCAATCGCCTAGACTGGCGGCCGGAAAGGCTGAAACCGTGAGGCGCATATTTACTGGGTTTCAGTGCCCCAGGAATGCAGCTGCAGGGGCGAACTCCCATACGCAAGAACTTTGAGTGATTGGAGATGGGATGCTGCAAGAGCAAACTAAGCATACACTTATGTCCTGGTCCTAGCCGACATCACCATGCGATCAGTGCCCAATTAATAGCTACGCGAGTTTGGGTGTTATACTGTCCCAAATGATGTTGAGCTGGCCGCCGGCTATGTTGGACGGTCAGACCGCTTCATTGCGCGCGCGACAGAAGATAACTGCTGTATTGCAGCACATGGTCTAGAGCTTGCGCGAGACGCAAAAATGTTGCCGGTCTGCATACCATGAAGGGCTCAAATCCCAGTAGTCCACATGTGTTCGTCAAAGGGAGCAAGAGCCGAGTAATAGCAGGACAGGTATGAGTCTAGACGAACTTGATTGATGTCTCCTAATCATATTCCACAATTCATCAGCAAAAGCGATATCCCTCGTGGTGAGGTCTTAGGGGGGAAAGTTAAGTTTCAAGCGTACCTTTCAGAACACTGCCGGCACGACAGCCACTCGAATGCAGGTTGGTTGCACTGCAGCCTTGGCCCAGGTCCCTAAGTGTCGCTGTGTCACGCTGCTGAACCATTTTGCCTTGCTAGTAAGAATTGCAGGAATTTCAATGGGCGTGGAGTCCCAGTTGCTTGAGAGCCAGCAATTCCATAAGATTGAGTTCGCAGTGGCTGATTAACATGGCATGGCAGCCTTGTGGTTATTGTAGTTAAACTCCTGTAGACTACTGGCCAAGCATTGAGAACAGCCGGAAATCTGACAAGCTCGTGGAACGACCCACTCAGGCTGACAGCTCAGAAATGATTCCGATACAACAGATATCTTGGTGCCATTGGCTACAACACTCGTTGGCATCTCCGTAGCTGACGATCCTCCAACGATGAGACAAACCAGCGATTGAGCTGCAGCGGCTATAAAAACTGTTTCAGTGAGAGCGGTAGAAGCCATAGAAATTCCGAGAAGAAGCCGAAGACGATGCTTCTGGATATAGAAATATATCCTAGAATCGAACTCCAGTTTCCTTTTTTCCCATCCCCGGACAGGAGCAGACGCTTTCCTCTCCTTTCTCCCTTCTACTGGTTCGAAGATGTCGAATTGATTACATTGTATTATACAGAAGATTAATTATTTTAGGTCAAATAATTCCTGTAATGTTGAAGTGTCAAATACCGAAAGCCCACATGGTAGAAAGCAATAGTCCGCCGTACCCGAGGACTTGATTAAGCATAATGTGCACAATTACTCAGCCTCCTTTGTGCTGCTTATGCTATGTGTAGCAAGTAAGTGACCGTCATCATTTGCAACAAACGAATACTATCAAGATCATGAGAATTAAATATAAATCCAAAGATGCAGCGAGTTGATGACAATATTGATTGACAGTGCGCAATTCCCCAATGTCAACTCCGTGAATACTATCCGCTCTCTCATTGACCACTCACTACCAAGTGCGAACTGGTGTTCGGGGATTGATTGAGCCAACCGGGTGTCTGGGCCCTGATCGGCCATTGACTTTACTGTCTTTTCTGGATCCTCGTTTCGTGTCTATTGATCATTATAGCTAGTAATATCTCTGATGGTACCTCGGATGGCCGGAAATGGTGACGTGACCCAAAGATTGGAGAGTAAATGTAAGAACACCAAGACAAGCTCGGACACGCCGAAATAGTCATGACTTCGTACATGTCGTAATCGACATAACAAAGTTACCTTAGGATATGTCTTGCAGAGCATATAAGAAATGGGGGTCGCTGGTACATTAGTATCAATCGCACGGCCAGAAATCAGTACTCTGTCTTTGATCATATCAAGCAAGATACAATGGTGTTCGGGAAACGTAATAATGGAGAGGAGCGGCGTGTCGTCAGGCCCAGCCAGAGTCAGCTACCCATGCTGGGCCTGGCGGACAGTGCTCGAAATAACCTGATTGCTGTGGTGGGAGAGTTTGTCGGCACCTTCCTCTTCCTGTTCTTCTCCTTTGCAGGAACTCAGGTCTCCAATACACCCAAGCCGGCGGCCGGTGCCCCTCCCAACACCTCCAACCTTCTTTATTCCGCCCTAGCATTTGGCTTCTCCTTGACAGTCAACATCTGGGCCTTTTATCGGGTAACGGGAGGTCTATTCAACCCTGTAGTAAGTCTCCAGCCGTACAACACTGCAGCCCAGCTACTGATAGAGCAGGTCTCCTTGGCACTATGTCTGGTCGGAGGCATGCCGCCCCTTCGAGGCGTCTTCGTCTTCGTTGCACAGCTTGTAGGCGGCATCGCAGCCGCAGGCGTCGTCAGCGCTCTGTTCCCGGGTGACCTCAACGTCGGAACTCGACTGGGTGGAGGGGCCTCCATCTCTCAGGGTCTGTTTATCGAGATGTTCCTCACAGCACAACTGGTGTTCGTGATCATCATGTTGGCCGTCGTGAAGCACAAATCCACTTTCCTCGCGCCGGTCGGTATCGGTCTCACTTTCTTCGTCACGGAAATGATTGGTATGGATGCCCCCCAGTCCACCTAGATGCTGAGGCTAATGACAACAGGCGACTACTATACCGGCGGCTCGCTGAATCCCGCGCGCTCACTCGGCCCAGACGTGATCAACCGAAGCTTCCCCGGTTATCACTGGATCTATTGGGTCGGGCCGCTGCTCGGGTCTCTGCTGGCCTGCGGATTCTACACCTTCCTCCGGATGTTCAAATACGAGTCCGTCAACCCGGGGCAGGACTTCGACGAGTGGGAGGCTAAGCGTGGACCTGGATCGTTCGATGAAAATGGCCGAAACTCAACAGCATTTTCGGATTCGACCGCTGGCGCACGGAGTCATTCGCCTCGAGGTGTAACTCGACCTAGTGGACCGGTCAGTGGAGCGGAACAGGTTTGATCGATGGATAGGTTGATGATAAATCACATATTCATGCAGGTGGTTCAGCTGGACAGATGAAAGTGGCAGCAAGAGGGAAAGGCAATAGGCGATATGTATTCGGTGTGAAGTGTTGGGATCAGTCGGCCATCAGCGTTGAAAAGCGACAATATAGGACGCTAAGCGAACTCTCTAGTGTCTAGAGATGCCGAAATCCCCCTTTACCTGATCTGGCAGGTTAGACGGTCACTACAATCTCATTCTTGAGGAAAGCATTCGATTCTGAAGTGGTCTGATTCGCAGAGAAATGTCCGATTGGAAGGTGCACTGTAGAGCTCGATTAAATTGATATTGCGATCCTATCGTCAAATTCGTACTGCGAACGAGCTGTTCTAGGGGTGGCACTATATCCTCAGATGTTGCTGTATCGCCAGCCCACGATAAAAGGTAGATAATACGCAAGTATTCATATTTGAAAGCATGACGATTCGGTGATCTATTCTTGCTATCACCAATTTACCATTTCTGGGCGTTGGACACTTCGTTTCTATCTTGAGTCTTGAGTCGACTACAGACACTAGCCGACGCTCTCGGCACACGCCCGCAATCCAGAATCCACACCAGCTCCAGCGCTCCACAACGCACAAACCTTGGAGAACAGCCGTCGCTGGAGCATGATCATCCTCATCTTCTTCATGTTAAATCAATACTGCTCCATTTTTATTTTTCTAAAGAACAAAATGAGGTTTCGGAGATGAAATCGATTCAGGTAATCGGAGGAATGCACCCTCGCTAATAACGGCTGCACAGGATATTAGCAGGATTCGGTGCATGCAACATGCAGGTCTAGCGTCCTAGGCAACTCAATTGATCAATAAAATCAGGTGAACCAAGACCGTGTCTCTCCACAGGGTCACATTGAAATGAGTGCACAATAAGTACTCCCCTTCAGCCCAGGACCACGCCCTCTGATGTTCCGACGACGCCGGCCAGACCATGAGCGTGCCCCATGGGACTTGGCAAATCCGTCCAACCAGTGCCACCCGACCGTGAGTGATGAACTCGAGATCTTCCGGGTCCATGGAACCACGATATTGGAGGTACCAGTAAGAGTAATTCAGTGTCCGTAGAACGTAGAGGAGTCTGTGGACTACCGATTAGGGGCGCGCAAATGCGTGGCTGCATCATCCAAGGCCAGCCAGAAGGTGTGGAGCCCGTAATCGAGACCCCATAATGTCGTCTTAATGGTCCGCGATGATCATCTCCCGCTTTTTCAGTCCGCCAATCCATTCCCCATCGGAGTTTCCAGGATAACCCCCTTTCGTCCTTGGTCTTCCACTATCCAATGCCACAACCAATGCCCATGCAGACGGTCGTTTTTAGACTTTGCAAGTCCTCACACCATGTCCCTCTAGTCTATCTAGTCCGCGGTACCTGTTGCCTGGTCCGATGCAGATAACTCCATTGTCCCCGCTGGGTTGACTTCTTCCCGACTTCTTCAATCTTCGGCTTCACCATTTTTGATGATCAGCGATTCTGCAGTCATTTGAGACTGCTTGGACGCCAAGATGCTGCTGAAGATGCGCTCGCAGACCACCGTTGATGCCACAGGCCCTGACCATGGCGTCGGTGGCCATCGAGAGGCGGTCGACGACACGCAGCTCCTGGGTAAGTCGCAGCTTTAACGTTTGGCGTCCGACGCGCAGCTTACTGATTACAACAGCCGAATTGGGTTACAAGCAGGAGCTGCGACGACAGTATTCGACTTTAGAAATCTTTGCGGTCGCGTTCAGTATCATGGGCTTGGTTCCGTCGATCGCGTCCACAATTGCATTCTCACTTCCAGCTGGGCCAGTCGGGATGGTTTGGGTTGGTTATTTCCCCTTCGTTTCTTTCCCTTACGGATGCGCTAATAGTGATAGGGATGGTTTACGGCGAGTATCCTCATCTTCTTTGTCGGTCTTGCGATGGTATGTCCCTGAGTCGTCGATTGCGATTGCGTCCGTATTAATGACAATAGGCGGATATGGCGTCCGCGATGCCCACGGCCGGCGGTCTATACTGGTGGACACATTATTTCGCGGGTGAGAAGTACAAGAACCCGTTGAGCTTCTTGGTCGGATACAGCAACACCCTTGGGTTAATTGGTGGGATGTGCTCGGTTGACTGTATGTCACGTCCTCCGCTCGATGACGAGTCGTCACTGACGGTACAGACACGCTCTCGCTGCTGCTGCTCGCGTGCATCTCGATCTCGCGTGACGGAGAGTGGTCCGCGTCCAACGGGACCATCTACGGGGTCTATGTCGGGGTGATTCTCGTGCACGCCGTGTGCGCTGTGTTCGCCGGACCGATCATGAACAAGATCCAGACGTTTTCGATTTTCGTCAACGTGGCGATGATAATCGCAACGGTGGTCGCGCTTCCCGTCGGCAAAATCAGCCGCGGCCAGTCGCTCAACCCGGGCTCGTATGTCTTCGGGGACGTGGAGAACCTGACAACGTGGCCGACGGGCTGGGCTTTTGTGCTGTCGTTCCTGGCCCCGATCTGGTCGATTGGCTTCTTCGACTCGTGCGTGCATATGAGTGAGGAGGCGCTGCATGCGGCCAAGGCGGTGCCGTTGGGGATCATCTGGTCCTCGGGTTGCGCCACGTTCCTGGGGTTTTTGGTTCTGTCCGTGATTGCCGCGTCGATGGACCCGGACGTTAGTAAGACGATGAGCTCGAAGTTCGGGCAGCCCATGGCGCAGGTTAGTCGATTGCACCTTCCCCCGTACCGTAACTGGCGGTGACTGACGGGCTAGATCTACTATGACGCTCTCGGAAAGAAGGGAGCTCTCGGCTTTACCGGAGTGCTGATTGTTATTCAATTCCTCGTCGGACTGAGTTTGGTAAGCTCTCCATCTTTGCAAAGTAAACAGGAGAATACTGATGAACAGATCGTCGCTGCATCCCGGCAAACATGGGCCTTCTCCCGCGACGGTGCCCTCCCCTTCTCCGGCTACCTCCGCCACATCAGCAAACGCATCCGGTACCAGCCAGTCCGGGCAATCGTCGCATTCGTCGCCGTGTGCATCGTCGCCGGTCTGCTCTGCCTGATCAACTCGATCGCAGCCAATGCGCTGTTCTCCCTGTTCGTGGCGAGCAACTACGTCGCCTGGGGCACACCGATTCTCTGCCGGGTGATCTGGAGCAAGAAGCGCTTCCGGCCGGGCGAGTTCTACACGGGGAAGTTCAGCCGGCCGATTGCCATTGTGGCGATCCTGTGGTTGATCTTTGGGCTGATGCTGTCGATGTTCCCGAGCGGAGGACCGAATCCAACTCGTAAGTCTTGTCTTTGCAATCTACGGACTATGCTAACGGCTACGCTACAGCGTCGACGATGAACTATACCATTGTGATCAACGGCTTCGTGTGGGTTGCATGCATGACGTATTACTTCCTGTTCGCGCGGAAATGGTACACCGGCCCGAAGATGACTATTGATTCGTCGGAGGTGGTAACCCAGCCTGAGAAGGATGCAACCAACTGAATTGTATTCATATAAATGCCAGATTTGTCATTGATTGTCATATTGAGTACATGTACAGGTCGGTATATAGACATAACCATAACGTGATCGCGATCAGCGAATCAGTCATCTCCACCTCTTATCCTCTCCTCAAATCATTTAATGAATACCCCTACAGGGCAGCCATAACACCCAAGACACCAGCAACACCTGCAATCCCAGCCCCAAGGAACGGGGTAGCCTGCGCACCCGCGCCCTGAGACGTCGAGGTCGACGTGGTCGCCGCACCGGCACTAGTGCTCGTACGGGTCATGGTGGTCGTCAACGACCCGCTCGTGGAGGTCGTAGTATCCGTGATCGTCGCAGTGGTTGAACTGGTAGTCTGACTAACGGACCTCGTCTCCGTCGCCGTCGGTGTCCCGTTCGTTCCGGTGAGGGTAGTCAATTCCTCGCTCCAGGCCGAAGAAGCCTTGCTGGCAGCATCGGAAGCGCGGGACTGCGCGTCGGACGCGACGGAGGTCGCCCAGGACTGGACGTTTGAGGCTGCGGAGGCGGCGTCGGAGGTGAGGGAGGAGACGGCTGCCGCGCCGCCGGTTTCGAAGGCGGAGGCGATGGAGGTAGCGTCGGCGACGACGTTGGAGGCGACGTTTTGGCCGTCGGAGGCGACGTTGTTGGCTGCGGAGACTAGGGAGTCGATTGCGTTGCCATTGTTGTTGTTATCCTGGGCGTAGGTGGAGGTTGCCAGGAGGAGGGCTGTGAGGTGGAGGAGTTGCATTTTGTTTGGTCTTGTGTCTTGGTTTGTTGGTTTGCTTAGGTGTGGGTAAGTGTACTCTGTATGAGTTATGAGTATGAGGTATATGAGATGATTGATGAAAGCAGAGAGAGACAGAGACTGGAGATTGATCGCTTTATATGTTGTTACACTGCCAACACCCCATAAATAGATCCAGGTACTCCGTACTGCCACCTGGGTCAACGTCAGCTCCACAAGGCGCAGTGCAGTGACTGCGTGGCGATACACCACCTACAGTTACAGGTACTGCAGTCTGTACAATCGCAATATCCAATACATTTCAGTTCTATCCACAGTGACCAGTAAAACATGGAATGACGACGTCCACGGGTCGATCGGATGAGGTCGTGCCAATCACAATATCACATCATCCGGGTCCACTCAGTCCACTTGTCAGGGTCAGTTTCTGTTTCTGTTGATGTTGATGATGATGATGATGATGTATCTACAGTAAATGCTAGCAACATACAGTCGCCAGGCGAATGTGAATACATCATAATTAATCTATCTGGCGACTACGACTAGTGTCTTGTCTCCAAGTTCACCATAGGTACTTACGGCGCGGCAGACGACAGGGCTTCGACTACTGACTCGCAAAGTATTTTCGAGAACCAAGAAAGCCACCCGGGATCCACTGCGTACGCTTCGTTTAACCACTCCCGGAATAGTGCTATGGGGCGCGCAGTAAATAAGCAATGTGAATGGTTCTGGGGACAGCTGATCCATAGATCAGCGGCTTAGTGAGACTGCCCAGGTTTGTGCCATGTCAGGCAAAGCGCAAGACCTGTTTGTGTAATTGTTTTACTTGAATGATATTGTGCTGCCTGATGCCAAGGTGATGACGTATGCTGGGTTGTGGTGCATGCATATACCAATTATACCGCTCTACAAGTGATCAAGTAGACTAGTTACGAGTTAATGATGATGGCATTGTTGGGGTCTTGGTAACTACAGTTACTCGGTTTCTCCGTAGACCAAAAGTGGACTACCGAGGTGTGGCAATGCCGCATGTGGCGGTGACAGTCGATTTGTGCCATGGCTCAGTGAAGCAATATTACTACATTTAGATTGATTATGTACTAAGACGGGTGGTGATCTAAGCAAACTGCCGGTATGCTTGGATGATGGCCTCCCATCCTCCTGGGTGATTATACTCGGTCGGATTCGACTGTCCGTCCAATACCATCACGTTCGTCTTGCGCGTGTTGATCGAGTACCACACCAGGTTCTCTGGGTTGTTGCTCACCCGCATCATGTTGGTCTGGCAGGTTCCACTGCACTGAGTCCCGTAATCTCCGTACCACTCGCCGTCGAAGAATGCCCACGCCGCGGAATTATACAGCAGCACGTCCTTGCCGCCGTCGACGTTGGTCGCCAGCGCTGTGCGGCACTTCTGGTCGCCGCCGGCGCACCAGGAGAAGTCCGGATCACCAATTGCAGAGTCCGCGGTCCAGGGCGCAGGCGCCGTTTGAGTCGCGCCGCTACCCTGCATGTACGGACTCTCGGTCTGGAGTAGACCCGCGTAGACGTTTTGCGCGTTGTGGAAATTGTAGTTATATAACCAGTGGTGCTCAGAGCCAGTTCCCGTCAGCCATGTTCCTTTGGTCGATTCGACCAGTACTCCGCGGCCTGTGGAGATAACAGTGTATCCCGACCCGCCGTCCAGGTTGTGGTCAGCCGTCCAGCCCCAGAAGTTCTCGATGTAGGCCGACGAGCTCTTGGTCAGGTGCATCACCATGTACGCTGCCATGCACTGGGAGGTGTCCTGGTTCGTGCACCTGGTCGAGATGCTGGTCTCGGCGGTGCCACCGACAGTCACAATTGTGTTCCACAAGCCCACGTCGCCTGGAGCGCTGCCGGCCATGTTGACTTCAAGGATCTTGGCTCCCGGGAGGACCTCAGAAACACTGAACCGCATGTCTTGGATTTCTGCGACGCCCACGTCGCCCGGGTTGCCAATCCGGACAACAGCCTTGGGGTTGCGGGCATCCTTGAAGGCGTTGCCCGCGCCGGAAATCACTGACCACGCCTCTCCAACGATCCGAGAGCCGGGCGGGATGACCAGCGTGTCTTTGACTATGTACACACCGTATGGGAAGTAGCTGATCTTACAGTTGGCCGCGTTATCGGCCAGAATGGCGTTGAGGGAAGCAGAGTCGTCGGTGTATCCGTCGCCTTTGACGGCGTGGCCTGCGACGGCCTTGACGTTGACGATCTGGTCGCTGGCGTACTCGGCATACGTAGGCTGGGCTTTTGTAAAGAACTTGCCTCCGGACAGCAGCACGGCGGGACGGCTGGTGCTGAAGCTGGTTCCTGTTTGGTATTGGCCTGGGGTAACATTCCCCCAGACCCAGGTGTCTACATGAGACGTACTGGCCAGTTTGACGTTGCCGTTGCTGTCTTGGGCGATGGGGTTTCCATTGTCGTGAGTTAAATTCTCGATCAGGATTTGGCTGTTGCGGTTCCCACCATCGTTGGACGAGTCGTGGAACTTGATCGTAGTCCCAGAGTTGACTGAGGTCGAGTCCAGCAGCACCAAGCTTCCCAGTCCGTTACTGGTCATGTCAATGCCCACTCCGCAGTTCTCGAATGTAGCGCCTTGAAGCAGAGCAGTGTGGCCACCGGACGCTTTGAAGGCGGTTGTGCAGCCGTTGAAGTGGATGTTCTTGAAGTTGACCTGCTGGTTGGAGTTGTCGATGCCAACGACACCTCCATTGATTTGCTATAATCATCAGCTGACGAACACCACAGCACAGAAGACAAGAGACCAACCACATCGGTTATGGCGATAGTAGACCCCGCCTGGACGTGAATGCCGGTATGACCGGTGGAATAATTCGGCATGTTGATCTTAACGTTAGTCAGACCTGAACCCTGCGCCACACCCCACTGCAGAGCCGTAATCCGAGTATCAGGTCGGAGAGCAGTGGTGTCCAACACCACGTTCTTCATGAGCGTCATGAAGCTGGTCTCCGGGGGCCCATTCTTGGAATCGTATCCATTGACGAGCGTATTGCCGTTGAACCCGGGCGCCGCCTTGATCACAGGCGGGTTAATTGGGTCCCCAACAATGAGCGTGCCAACTCGGAGGTTGAGTGTGCTCCCCAGCTGGTAGGTACCACTTGGAAGATAGACCTGAGCCGGATACCTAGTGACACCGGAGCTTTCACGGCTTCCACCGCTGCCATTGTCGTTGATGGCTTTTTGCAAGCTGGCAGTCTGGTCGCCGGAGCCGTCTTTTTTTGCACCATAATCCAGAACATTACGCCAGACGGGGTAGTTGTAGTTCCCTCCTGCATTAGGGGCATATCCGCGCGGATTTCCGGTGTGGTCCTGTTGAGCGAGCCAGTATGTAGATGGAGAGCTCTTGACAGGACCGCTGCAGGAAGGAGCACGAGCCCCGACAGCTGCAGACGAGGCCATAGCCAGCGCGCTGGCCAGCGCGGTCAACGAGAGGAGACCACGCATGCTAGCAAGATGATGAGTGATTGTAAGCAGAGACAAATGAATGAGGAATGACAGTCTTACCATCAAGTCGAGAGGACGACACATCGCCCATATATAGCCCTCCATCTCTAGTCCATCATCTGTCAGCACCACGATCAAAAGGGTGCTGATTCATGAAGCGAGAAGATTCGCTAGCACGAAGCTGAACAACCATTGTGCAGAATGACCGGGCTTAAATGACAGGGTTACACCACATGTACGACAAGAAAGAGGGAATTTCCTAAGAGAGAAAGGTGCGCGTCAGTACTAGGACGATGTGGTGAGACAGCGCCGAATTGGCCCCGATTTGAAACGATGCCGTAAAGCCTTACAAATGATAGTCTTCCCGATCAGGGAAGTGGTGTCCGTCGATAGCAGTCAATTTGGCCAGAGACGGTAGAGAAGACGCCCTGCATTAGGCCGATTATTGAGGAGAATCAGATGGATTCCTTGGAAGATTATCAGCCTTGATGAAAGATGAGGGATTTGGACCTGAATCCTAAATGCGATCAGGGGCTTACAACGTAATACCATGCAGAGCTCTACTTTCTGAAGATTTGGCTTGTAAATACTGTAAATACATTTCCCTGCCGGACCAACGTATATCCGTCAGGGGCTGATTTCTCCGTGTCCCAATCGGGAAAGCTCACATACATGCATGAATCTATGCTTGATTCTTCAGCTTGCAGACTTGACCTCCGGAGATGTGCGAATTCCTCTACATGACTTGTTTGATGAGATGATGTCTTGTGCGCAGATAGGACTGGCTATGACTCATGCCATTGCTCAATATCTGAGGAGCTGGTCATTAGAGTCCTCGAGCTGTCCTCGACTACTGCAGAGAGGACTATGCGTCTTGGGCATATGCGGGAAAGATCCGATACGACTGATACGACTGTAGTTTGTCTACCTGAATAATGCCATGCCCAATGGACCAATCTGCCCCTCTTCCCTAGGCAAAATATCTGAGCACTAGCTCAACGATCCCGCCACCCACGAGACGTTAAGTTAGTCCATCTCTACCCGTCTAGCAACTAGCGCATCATCGGAAAAGGCACCCGAATTCTTCATACCCCTCTTGTCCACTGGTGAGTGCTGCCACAGCTGCACCAGGTCCTCTCCAGTTCGAGTCAGCTCAATCCAAACCCCACAGTTCAAGCCCGACTGGCCAATGATCACTTGGTGAGTATAATCCCCTGTGCCGAGCTTCGTGGCTTAGCTGACCTGGTCAAGTAGATGATGATAATGTAGAGCCAATCAGCTTAGATCGGACTCAGGTGCTAACAGACCCTGTGGAGATTAGATGAATGGCCGGCGTGACACCAGTAAAACTGGCTAGCAGATCTCTCTTGGTCTAACCTGTGACTTGTCAACTTAGACTAGGTTCATATGTAGGAATTAGGTTTGATGGATGTCTAAGGTGGAAGTCCCACTAAGGCTACCTTGAGATGGCTCATATAGTTTCTTTAGGGCAGATATCCTCACACTTGCACTCTGTTTATGCCACACTTTTAGGACTCTTTCCTAGAATTGACCTGGGTGCCGACTCCTCAAATCATTTCAACCGCCGAAATGATCCTGTATAAGGTAACGTACCCATATCGAAGCAGATAGCCAGCCCTGGAGTAGCTGTGTTGCTGCTTTTGTTACTGGCTGATCGGCCTAGCTACACCACTATTGCTTACCGCCATCATAGTGTGCCATCTCCGGGGACGACGTTCTATCCGACGTTCTATCCGACGTTCTATCCGATGCTTTGGGTCGATGGCGTCTTCTACGGGGTTGACTGTCCAATGTTCGAAAGAATTGAGTTATGCACCACCCAATCCTGTTAAACTTCGGGCTCATGTCCATCACACTCGATAGGCGTGCGTACTTGGTCCTCTTGAAGAGTATGCCGGCCCCTGATTCACGACGCTACCTTATATTTAGGCAGTCGCTGAAAATTACGCATATAGGGTATCTGCAGAACCTCAAGCGCCACCTTGAATCCAATGGTTGTGGTCAGGAGGAGATTACAACGATTCAGAAGGATATCCAAGCTTATTGGAAGAATAAGACTCTACCCTAACTTCCGTGAGTTTGAGTTCTCCACTGGCAGAACTCGTGACGAGGAGGGAATGTATAGCGCCTATCTCCCCATATCTTGTTATAGTCCACTGACACGTCTGGCGACGTAGGATCATCGCTCTCAGCTACCGCAAGGATGACACTCCATATTGGACCTACTGGAAGCACGGTCTGGAGAAGAAGAACTAATCGGTGAGGTAGGAGTATAGTTCTTGATGGGGCATCAGCTGCATTTTCTATCCATCTCTTCAAGCGTATTGAAGAGTCCGCCATCTATGCGAACTCAAGGTACAGTCTCGTCATCAGTATACCGTGGATTGCAATGTAGCACCATAATATTAGGCCCAACTTCGAAGTGCTCCCACCAATGCCAATGGAGTATAACTGATCTTACGCTCATGTGCATTTCTCATGGAAATACCATTATCTGCGTGTGGAATAAGATGAAACGTGTATTCCAAAGACTCGACGAAGGAAGCCCTGGTGTCGACCATGGTTCGTTTGCGGGCTCGGGAGTTTCCTCCGTTGCTGGGGCTAACATCGACGTAACAACGTCAGAAGGCTTTCATTCGAGATGATGTTCTCGCGCAGCTCAATTGCTCTTCAGATTCTCACTCGATGCAGCCGCCCGTTCCACCAAAGGTAGGCTGACAAGATTTCGAAAAACAATACTTTATCAAAAACCATGAACGAGGATGGTCTACTCATCTACAGAACATCAATAACGACTGTCGTTCTGACAAGTGATGGATCCCTTAGTTCATGACGTCGAACAGACGAAGCTGATGTGGCCAAAACCATGCATACGTGAAGTCACTGGTGACTAGATATGATTAGCCACATCCATGGCGAACCGTGTCATCTTTTTTCCTCGCACTTCTGTGGAATCTCCTCTGCTTGTCTCAGCTACTTGAGTACGATACGAGATTAAGCTGCATTGTACAGATTGCTTCTAGGTGTTCCTACTTCCTGCCAGGGTACGTACATAGCCAAGTCTCTTCGATGGCTTCTAACAAGACCTAGACGTAACCGATCAAGCCCTGTCACCTGAGATTGCCATATGTCTGACTCCAGACAAGAAAGTGAGAGTTCCGCCGTAACCTATCACAGTCAGCCCGAATCAGAAAATACCGAAGAATCTGTCAGTCCTGAAGGCCCAGGATCACCCCCGGCTCCGCCAGGGAGTCCACGGTCACCTGAACAGCAGAGCCAGGATGGAGACAACCAGGAAATTCCCAGTATAGAGACCACCCAGACAAACGGGGAAAACGGAGAAAACGGAGAGGCATCACAGAAGAGACAACGGGTTCGCTTCCGGTCCGCCCTCAGTGTCGACTACCCTGAGCCTGCTGGTCCCGAAAGCAGCGAAGATGAAAGCTCTATCCAGGAAAGGCAAAAAGGCCAGCGTGACCAAGCGCAACGCCAGGGCCAGCCACATCTCATGTCTACGCCCTACATCCATGGATCGCTAGACATCACAGAAACCCCTCTCCAGGAGCGGACAACCGGAGAAGACCTTCAGCAGGCGGAAAAGACCCCTGTGGAGAAGAAACCGACAGGCATTGGCGCAGCAGCAGCCGTCGGCGACGTCAGTCGCACCGCCAAGGACAAACTGCGATGGCTGCGGGACACAGTGCACGGCAAGTTGTCCAAGTGGAGTGATCGGCTGGGACGCCCTGAACGAGGTGGGGATGACCTAGGACCCGGTGTCTACCACAACGAATGGGCATCAGGCGGCAACGCGCCTCTGGGAGATTTGACTGACAACAAGCACAAGACTCACGAGGAAAAGAAGACACATCAAGCCACGTCCACGTCTGAAGCGCACCGCTTGGTCCGGGAGCTGACGCAGGACCAGTCCGGCAATCGGCGCAGTACGCGCGGGAAGCCATACCCACATACCGACACGCAGGGCGGACAGGGCGGCCAGGGGGAAAATGCAATCGACTCGGGGCTGCGGTATCGAGCCAATGGTGGCGGTGTTCTGGCGCAGCTGATGAAGCTGAATGGCGGCATGCAACAAGGAGGGCAGGGTGGACAAGCTGGACAAGGTGGACAAGGTGGACAAGGTGGGCAACGGTCACCCTCTGACGCCGGGACCTCAGGGACCACAACTCCGAAGAAGGAAAAGTTAAAGTGGTACAAGAATAAACAACATACCCGGTCCACGTCGACTCTGGTTGGCGCATCGGGTAGCATGAGTGGCGCGAGCACCCCTGTATCCAGCGAGGTCCTTTCCGCCGCGTCGAAGCGCCTTGGTGGACAGCAGCCTCAACAGGAAGGAAGGATGCGGCTGGAGGACGAAATCCAGGTGACGGTGCAAATCGCGGAGATCATTGCGCGCCAGCGGTACATTATGCAGCTGTGCAAAGCGCTGATGTCGTTTGGTGCCCCGACGCATCGGCTCGAAGAGTACATGCAGATGACGGCTAAGGTTCTCGAAGTGGACAGTCAATTTCTGTATTTTCCCGGGTGCATGATCATGTCATTCGATGATCCTTCGACGAGGACGACAGAGGTCAAGCTTGTTCGGGTGGCTCAGGGAATCAACTTGCAGAAGTTGGCCAATACCCATCGAATCTACAAGAATGTCGTGCATGACGTGATCGGGGTGGAAGAGGCCATTCAGGAACTAGAGGAGATCGAAAAGAAGCCGCCGCGGTTCAACAAGTGGATCGTGGTGTTGGTGTACGGATTGGCGTCTGCGACTGTTGGACCGTTTGCCTTCAATGCTCGGCCGATCGACATGCCCATCATCTTCATCAACGGCTGTCTGCTGGGCCTCATGCAACAAGTCCTCGCACCTCGCTCGGCTTTGTATTCAAATGTCTTTGAGGTGACGGCCGCGGTGCTGACCTCATTTCTGGCCCGCGCCTTTGGTAGCATTCCCAAGGCCGTCATCGACGGCAAGCGTCAGTTTCTCTTCTGTTTCTCTGCAATCGCCCAATCCTCCATTGCGCTTATTCTGCCCGGCTTCCTCGTGCTATGCAGCAGTCTTGAGCTGCAGTCTCACCAGATCATCGCGGGATCAATCCGAATAGTCTACGCCATCATCTACTCTCTGTTCCTCGGATACGGCATCACAGTAGGGACAACCATCTACGGACTGATGGATGGGTCAGCCGTATCCGACATCCAGTGTCCCAAAGCCGGGGCCTTCAAAAACCCATACGTGCAGCGGTTCCCCTTCGTAGCCCTCATGACCGTCTGGCTGCTCATCATCAACCAGGGCAAATGGAAACAGTTACCCGTGATGACGACCATCGCCCTGTCTGGGTACATCACCAACTACTTCAGCACAAAGAGGCTGGGCTCCAATTCGCAAGTCGCCAATACCGTCGGCGCCTTCACCATCGGCATCATGGGCAATCTGTACAGTCGCCTGTGGCACGGACATGCTGCAACAGCCATTCTCCCGGCTATCTTCGTGCTGGTCCCCTCGGGCCTGGCAGCGTCCGGGTCGTTGATCACCGGCGTGGCGTCGGCTGATCAGATCCGGCACAATATTAGCAGCCCCAGCGGGACCTCGCAGCCGGGGGCGGGGCTGTCGACTAATTCGTCGGTGTGGACGCTGGCAGTCGGGATGGTTCAGGTGGCGATTGGAATCACGGTTGGACTGTTCATAGCGGCGTTGGTGGTGTATCCGTATGGCAAGCGCCGGAGCGGCTTGTTTAGTTTTTAGCTTGTCTGTATGTATGGATTGGCCGCCAGTTCTAAGGTGGACGATGAGTTCAGATTATAACTCGGCAGATATTGCTCGGGATGCACGAGAGTTCTCATCCCGTCGCCTTGTAGAAAGCGCCGATATTTATCCAACTGAGGCCCTATATGAAGTATCTAGGCACGGCCCGAATGCTTGAGCAGACAATACATACGTCAGAAGACATAAACGGCGACGCCATCTCCATGTGGGACCCTCTCGCCCATTATCACCACCGCCATCCCGTTTCACTATATCATAATTGTTATTATTGTTGCCTTACCGGATACAGGAGCTTTTGATACAGTGATGTTGGTAACTGATAAATTTACTAAGCGGATGACCGTGATAACAGGTCATTCCATCTGGAACGCGCAGAAATGGGCAATGGCCTTGCTTGCAGTGCTTAACACTGGTGATTAGGGTATCCCAAACTTATTATTTCTGACAGGGATCCAAAGTTTGTTTCTGAAGTATGGAATACATGGATGCCAGCTGAACAAATGGCTGATGCTAAAGAGATGGCTCAGCAATTAAGTCACAGAATTAGCAGTATTCATATTTATTAGTTGATTGTTTATAATTTCCTGTACTTCCCGATTCCCGCATTGCAATTGTTTATATTCACTACTACTTGCATGGCTTACCTAGTTCTGCATACCATCTTTCATCTCATTCACTGTTCTCACAGCGTACTTTATGTTATTCCCTTTGTCCAGTTCACAGCCCAACACGGCTATTATCGCCTACTTAAAAATAGGCAAGGTCACTTATATCTTCTTTGCATGTTGCAATATAACTACTTTTTCACAACTATCCTCTCCTACATGTCTTATTTACCCACTGAATCACCGCCATAATCATTACTAGATGAGATTATTGAGTCACCATTGAATATCTTTCCAACACACACTTTCTAGCAGCTGTGACTGTATCACTCTCTTTTCCTGCAAACTGAGCCTCGTTGTCTATACCACTGAAAATACTCCCGAGTCTCGACTCCTAAGACGCCGATGCATCCAAGGTTGTCACTTAAGCTCAAGCCACCGCCAGACGATCTGTCTGACCAAACACATCCCACTACAGCTGGCAAGACAATAGAATCCCTGTTGCACTTTCTGGACAACCCAGCACCACAATCACCATCCACACCGTCAGGGCGCTCAGAATCATCAGAACATTTACAACCTGAACAGCGATCTCCAGCGACCTCCGCAGACATTGATCAACCACCTACCACAGATACTCACGCAAACTTGGCCAAGTGGTTAGAAAACAGTCCATCTAAAAAGCTTTGCATGACAACCACCCAAACACCCTCACCAGAAGACACCATGACCATGGGAGACACGTCTAAGAAGAAAAGCAGTGATCCTGATATGCTCATGGCTGTTGAAAAACAGGTTAAAGCAGCACAGCAGGTCACACAAGGCTTGACTTACACCCCTTTCCTCTTCATGCCTGAGAAGTATCGTATAGCAGATGTTAAGCCTGCAAAGATCACAACTGCCCCACCCACAGTCCCAAAGTTTCCGGATGTTGATGTACCAATGCCAGTAGTTGGTTTGGTCATGGACCAGCCGCATTCATACTCTGAAGGATTGGATGTTTCCTGGAAAATCGCATACACACCGGCATACCTGAAGTTTAATACCACCTCTCCATTCTTTGAGCTCTGTAACTCAACTGGCAAGACCATGTCAGCCGACGATTGCCATCTGCTCCCACCAATTGATAAAAAGGTTGAAAGGCTACGGATGGCGCGGAACGCATTTCAAGATCAATTATCACAGATTGAGAAGGCGCACACAGAATATGGAGTCTTAATGGCAAAATTCCGAGTTGCACACCGCGCCTGGGAAGTCTCTATACTGGAGGAATCCCAGATCAAGAAGTCCATCATGACTGATATTCGCAGACGGAAAAGGGAGGAGGACCGCAAAGATGATGATGGTGAATACGATACCTTCTTTTTCGGAAACCTCAAGATGCCCGACGACCGCCATGTTTATCCAAGTCAATGGAACAAGGCCAGAGGACCACCGCTGCCAACTTGGATTCCCCAGCGAATGTCAGACCTTCGCACAGCCATTCAAAAAGTGGACAAAGCAATTCAAGACCTCGTCAAACCAAAGCCGCAGACACGTTCAACAACTGCTGCCCAGGGTACGAAGCGTTTCTTTTTCGAGCTTTCCGATGACGATGAGGAAGATACCGAATACATTGACATGCCAAGCGACTTAGCCAAGTACAGAGATTGGGCAGCTGACCGTCATGCGACATGGGACGCTGCTGGATTGCCGACACAAGGGGAAGACGTGCTGGCCAAATACAACTTACCGGATGAAGTCCCGCTCGACAGGAAGAACTGGCCGGCATCACTTAACGGACTCGGTATAACAGCAATGCGTATCAACGAGGACACTACACGCCACCCTTGGGGAAAACCTGCCTTGGCATTACAGCGAACACTCAAAAAGGCGAAGGGATATGATAAGAACGCCATGTTTACGGACTTGGCCAGAAAGGCGCTTAGATGGGTGGAAGATACATACTTTAGCTTCACAGATGATGATCGTGATGCCTTGTCCAGCAGCAGTGTTGTTGACTGGAAGCTATCAGGCAAAGCAAGAAAATATGTTTCGCAGTTGTTGCAGGACCTGGATTAGTCGCTGATTTGCCACTGCGACGCGTACACCTGTGGCCTGCTCAGTCTATGAAGCCACACTGATGATCCATGTGATGTTGTCTTTTGACGTTCAATCAACGATCTGTGACATGCTCTTATTTTACCAGCGCTGGCTAACATTGCTTTCCAATGTAGCTTAATGCTTTTCTTTTTTCCAGAGCTTTTGTTTTTCTTTTAGCACAGGGGGATATTGTTGTATGGCCGTTGTCACATGCCATCCCCCCATACTTATTCTTGTATGTTAGTGCTAGGCTAGCTGGAGAATCAACTATCACCTTCCCCATTATACAAGCCCATGCACATAAGGTGCATACCAAAAGTGGACGCATCAACCTTGAACAGACAATGATCCTTCTCTTCTCACCTGCCCTCGCAAACGGAGTGGAAGGTCTCGTTCGCACCATGGAATCCATTGGCGAATGTGGTGGTGACGTTGATGTTGATGTTGATGCCAATGCTGTGGATATGGCATTGTTGGATTCCGAATGAAATGGGATCAAGGGAAAGGAACAGGATCTGGACCTGAATATCAGGACATGCTAGCGTGCAAGACATGGCTATACGGGTCTACTGGATTAAGCTCTCTTGGCGTCGCCCTATAGGGCTGAACAGCCGGAACTATTCTCCCACGGGTTGAGCTCCACCGTGGAATATCTCTAGAGATCCACATAATGCTATTTATAAAATCGTAGAACTTCTCTGGATAAGACGATCAAAGATACTATGTACACTGTAGGCTACTCTCTCTTCTTCTCCTCTCCACTCAACGCTTTAATCAACTTCACACCCACCTCCTCCGCTGTCCAGCGCTGTCCTTCCCAGAATTCCGCCTCCCGTTCACTGGCATACGCTGTCACCTTATGGAGCATTGCCGACTTGGTTTCTACCGCGTCCGTCGGGGACGAGTCCGTCGAGGAGCTGTACACATCCACATGGTCATTAAACCGCACCCGCGGCTTCCCATTCCCATGTGTTCTCCTGGCACAGAACCTCTCCAGGTAAGACTTGCGCACGGCGTAGCGCTTGGCAGCTTCACGGCGGAGCGTCCCCGAGCCGAGCTTCTGGAGTCCCGTGCGTACGACAAAGCGAGCCGCAAGGTATACCTGTTGAGCAATGAACAGTACTAGCAGCAGCGAGGACATGTGGACCTCCTTCATACCGTCGCGGTAGAGATAGACGATACTTGCCGTCGAGAGGGTGCCGAGCCATGTCAGGAACTCCAGGCCCTGGAGGGACGGGCCGATGGAGTCCGCACGGATTGGCGGCGGCCGCTGGCATTCGAGGGTGAGCTTGAAGAAGTCGCCGCGTAGCTCGAGCCAGTTGTTGATGAGGAAAAGCAGCGGGACGAGCGGCCAGGCGGTGCCAAAGAGGGCGAGATACCCGTACTGCACGCACATCTCGAGCGTGTCTTCATGGACGTTGTACTCGTCTGCTTCGGCTTCGTTGCGGACCCGTGTGAGGAATGCTGCCTCTGAGGGTGAATCGATAAGAAGAAGGTCGGTCATTTTGGAGTGTCGGCGTGGGCGGCCGGATTGCGTTTTCTGGAGGCGGTAGTCACGCCATTTTCTCAAGAGGACCTTTTTCACGTACGGGAGGATGACCTCCTCGCCGAAACTTAGGACTTGGCCCGTTACGGAAAGGTAGATTACTTCCTGCTGGAATCGGGAGGTGTCCACCTGGAACTCGGTCGATATAGATGATTGAAGGCTCCTGACGTGAAAGATGTCCAGGTAAGGGATTATCTTCGCCCCAAACGGTACGTAGACGAACGCAGTCAAGAGAGTAGGTAGGAACGCGGTAATAAAGTTCATCACGAATGTCTTCGCAGTCTGCGCGAGATCATACTGATCTTGGGTGCGATAATTCTCATACTCCGTCAGTTGAGTGGCAATCTCCGTCAGCTTCGACGTAATTGTCGGCAGCGAGAGAGAAAACAGCACGGTCGGAAGAAACTCTAGATACCCTTTGAGCGGGCCCACGTAAACCTCCGAGATGAAAACTTCGAGGGCAAAGGTGACGACAATTAAGCTGCCGAGCGCTACAGCGGCAACCGTGGCGAAGGGGATGAGCAGGAGCTGGCGCAGAAGCTGCTTTCGCATGGAGAACACGCGGACTGTTTCCCCTGTGATAGGGTCCTGCACCTCCTTATCCCAGACATATTGCGGCCTGTTGACCTTTAGCGCTCCGACGCCTTTGACATTCCATTGCAGGCTCAAGTCTGTCTCGCGGATCTTCCAGTACTCAACGAAAACGATGCACCAAAGACAGTTCACCACTGCGCAGTTGATAGAGTACGGGCCGAAATATGACCAGCAGACGAACCCCCATACGGCTGGGACAACCAGAAATAATGAATAAGAATGGATAAACGCAAAATAAAACGCCGTCTGCAAAGGTCAGCTTTGTCTCTGGTCGTTTATCTGACCACAAACCTTCTCGCCAAACAAGGCACGAATCGCATCCAAATCCTGGTCGGTTAGCGTCACCGATCGACTCATATCACGCAACAGCTCGGCATTAGCAGCCTGATCATGAAGCGGAAACGCAGACGCAATGTTCTTCCATTTTCCTATCCTTGGGGTGATGCCAGCACCACCCAGGTGTCTCTGCCAGGTTACAGCATGGTAGACCGATCGGAGTTCTTCAGCGGGTGTTTCGGCCTCGGCGTAATCGCTTGCAACAGGGAGTTCATGGACGATTCCATACAACCAGTCTTTTACTCTGGTAAAGTTAGTCGGTGAAGATGGTAATGTATAGACGGGGAGGTACCTCGACTCGTAAATCATATGTCCCAAGTAGTCCCGGGGAACCCGGATGCAGACCAGCAACGAAGAGCCATAACCATGTCTGACTTGGATTTGGAGTTGTGCTGCTTTGAGATCATGGATCAAATTTTGGAACTCCTCGATTGCTCGAGATGAGTCTGCAGGTTAGTCCCAGTGCGTTAGTGCATTCACAAAGGATAAAGAGATGTACGAGGAGTTGCAGTACGAACCGACTTCTTCGAACTGATAGTGGATCACCCAATCGGCACCAAGATTGTCAAACTCCGTGCTCTCAAACCGATGATTGTGGAAGAAAAGAAGAGCCATGTTATGAGGAAATGGGGAGGAAGAAGCGGTGTGTGGACGGTGGAGAGGAGAAGGAAGCGCTTCGAGGCGTGTTAGTCAATGGACTTTATTAAGAACCATCCACCATGCTGCATTTAACTAGTTTGAAGATATTCCTGGTAAACATTACTAACAGTACATGGATGAATTCGGTCAGATTGTCCCATGTGCGTGCCAGGATGAACCCAGTGACTCAATTAGCCATAACTCATAAATACATAGGCCTAATCAGCATAGTCCACTTCAACCCTGATCCATGCTTTGATACTGACTCGTCAATGGACATTCCCGTTGTTTTCCTAGTGGATCTCAGTTTAGGCATCACCATTCTCCAACAAACCGACGGTCCGCAAAGCGCCAGCCCTACAGGGCGCATACTAAGCTTTGTTTTGTCGAAGTTAGTGACTTGGCAGGTGGTACATCCGATGGTAGCCCGTAGGCTGGAGAATGCTATGCCAGGAACCACATGGTCCTTTTCGATCAGTAGGTACACCTGACAGTTGAAATCCTCAACTTACATCTCATAGACTATTGAAGGAAGCTTCTTCCACAGTCGCCAGCAGGTGTGGCACATGAACATGATCCCTCCGGTTACTACGATTCCCGCCCCTACCGTTAGGTGGGTTCGGGTACTGTATGATCAACATCAGCCTTACCGAGGGTCTTGCCTGATGTTTCAGTATTCACAGATACTTACATTATGCTATGGGTTATTGCCATGACGACAGCAGGGACTGATGGGTGGTTTTGACCTAACTTGCTATCTACTCCGTCCTCTGCGGTAGTTATATAGTTGTGTTCTGGCGTACATTCTTGCTCTTCCTTGCCCAGACTACTCAACTTTGGACTCTGCAGACTTCTTATGTAAGTTGTTCCATGATGTCTATCTAGGTAAATCTACGTACAGTATTACGATACATCTAGAGATGACCATAACTGGCCCTAGAAATGCTGCTGCCTGCGCCAAACGAATTAAAGGGTGGGTAATCTCCATACCATAAAATACGCGGAACCGGCCTGAACCCCTCATTTTTTTTATATCATCGCGTAAGTTATTCCGTATCAGAGCCGTAAAACACCAGACTGTCTCGGTCTGTGAAGCCGAACAGCCAATCATCGCCGTCGACGACCAGTGATAATCTATAGCAGCAAGGGCCAGGATGAGGCAAGGCATCCATTTCCAATTGAGTTATGGATAAAACATTTCTATTTTCTCCACGTCAAATGAATAAACAAGGCCCATCAGTGGCGACAGCCGCAGCCGAAGCATAAATTCGCCCATCGTCCAATGTGGTTGTTCTTGAGAAATTGAGCTCTAGGGCATCCGAGAGGGACAGCACCTTCCAACATTCCTATCTATCAACCTGAGCCAAATACCTCGTCATGCTCAACTGCATTACCAACACCATCAATGTCCACCAGCTCCTCTCGACCTCCCTTGATCTCATGGCACGCAGAGTATTCCCCGGCCAGAACCTGGCCTTTGGATTAAGCCTGTTCCTCTTCACGTTCATGTTTCTCCCGACGCTGGTGATGCTCTTGGCCGTCGTCGTGTTCTTTGCGTTCTACTATCCGCGGCTAGGGAAGACGACGGCTGTTCACAAGGATGACTATGAGTGAGGAATATTCGACCGGCTAGAGTTGGTGAGTAGTCTTGCAAGTATGAGTACACGGGTGGGGTACTGACGGGGCTGGAAGTATGATTCACGATACACGACGCATTTGGGCTGGAGTTATAATGGGCTATTGGAGTTTCGGAGTCGGTCTTTGCGATAACCAAGTCCCTATTATAACAGTCTTACTACCGCGCACAGTGATCTCTCGCCTTGACTGCGGAGGATATCGCGTGGAAGAACAGGGATGCAGCCACTCATGGCTGTTATGAGATCGAAAAGCATTATCTTCATGGATCTGGTGCGAGGCATCAACGCTTGAACCACGACGACATCAAGGCCGCCAAGGAGCCAATAGTTGTTGTAAGGTCTGCCACAGCACTACCCTGGCACCTCGTGTATGGTTAGCACAGCGGAGATTACATGGATCTCAGAACATACATGGCAATCACGATAGTTGGTGATAATGCACATTTAGCGTCATGAGGAAAGCTTGAAAGTCCAGCTCCAGTTGTGACCGCCATGTCAACGATTGGACATACTGGCGAAGTTGATTTGTACAAGACTTGAAAAAGATAAGATGTCACCTGAAGATCTGAGTCGACTCCGTTGACCCAGAGGTCTATGTGTGGCCCGCGGTGACATTGACTGTGGCTTGCAGTAGACAAGACGGTCAAGCAGCAAATTGTGCTCTTGAATCACATTGACACTTTAACTAGTTTTCAGATTCTGTTTTAGAGATACCTTTCGGCAGTTTCTCACTTTGTAAGACAATTGAAACCGAGAATTTGGAACAGTGACGCACACGGTTGTCGTTCGGGTTGCCGTTCAATTGTCTTGTAGCGCGTGCCGATGTAGCTGTTGATAGGGATTTGCTTAAGCCCCGTACAGAAGTTCAGGTCTCTGAGATGGTTTACAGATATGGTCGGCTATCAGATGGCTTATTATACCTTGACCTTGCGTCCGCTAATAACTTATTGTCGAATGACCCAATATTGCAAAAGAGAAGATGAAGGCGCAGTAAGAGACAGACACCAGCAGAGCACCCCCCTTCTTGGTTGTATGTCACATAACCTTGGTCTTAGGTGCTACAACGTTCAATATGCAGTATGAGGTCCAAAAAAAGTTGTTTATGATTTTGATCATGTGCTGTGTCTCGGAAATGATATTTCTATTTATGCCTGTGAGCACTCAGGCCTACGGTATCTGCTCATTGCCATATGCACCTGGCGCTCTATTGCGAAATCGTATATATTAGCTCCGGCCAATGCCCTTCAGCTGAGGAAAGGCCTTGACATGACGCCTAATTTAGACTAGGTCATTTGCAGAAAGGACTAAGGCTGTACCCAAGTAGCAGAACACTGATAGAGACATATTTCTGCCTCAAGCATAATTGATGTGGCAATGTTCTATTTCGGGCTTCAGCCACATGGGCGCAGTAGTGGAGATCATGTGACACATCTTCGAGGATCCTTCCCTACTTCCGTAACCACTGGTACTATCTCTCTTGGCTAGTGTGGCCACTGAACTGGCCCGTTCAGACTGTGTCCATGACGGGAAATGTCCGACTGATCGATCGTCAGAATATCAAAGCATTCAACTCATTAAATTCATCTTATGATGTCTTTTTCTGTATCACTTCGTTAATAGCCATTGTTTATGCGTTGGTTTGAATTACGTATGCTCGATTTTGAGTGACGTATGTTGTTGCGCAAGGACGTGGCTTGCCCCTTTCGGTGCTGGACACAGACGCGGAAAATCTTACCACCGAGACGGAGAAATTCACCCCTGACATTGGCTCAGCCAATCACAACCGGAAGGCTGTATCTTAGCCTGAGAACCTATGGAAATCATTGGGCACCAGCCTTATGAGGATTTTGGGATCCACTCAACACCCTCAACGCGCATTCCTGGGAGCTTGGAACCATGATTCAGTGTCACCTGCGGTTGACCAAATTAGATGTATTCATCTCGAAAATGGGAACGACGTCTTCTAAATAATGGCGCGAAAGGAAAAATCTACTCCAGTTGCGAGCGGTACTTAGAATATGAGGGGATTACAGAGACATGTTACTTGAGTAGGACAGCAGCTAAAGATGACTTCAGATGACATTCAACGTGTTACCTACGGAGTACAGCTACAGCCACCATACCTGTCGTAGACAAGTAGAAAAGTGAAGCGTGATTGATAACAAAGATGAGGCGGAGCGATAGGCTAGTGGTGGTTCTAATGTGACTTTTGTGCCTTGTCATAGGCTGTTGGGGAGCCCACTTTGTCCCAGGACAAATGATGATCACCTCAGGCTTGGCAAGCATCATCGGCGTCGCCAAGTGCCAAGCTACTCCATATAACGCCTCGTTTCTCCTTTCTCTTGCTGAGACTTTAGTCACTCGCTGCAAGCCCAGCTTCTCTTTCCGAAGCTTGATTTGCTTCTTTTTATTCTCTCAAAGCGCTTTTGAGCATAGGCTTGCTGTTGCCTTCCATAGCGATTTATCTACAGTTTTTCTCCTGAAATACATGCGTAAGTGCCCCTGGCCTTCCCCTTCCTCCACGGTCGTTTCCTCCAGCATAACATGATTTCTTTACATTTGCATGGCTCCTTTTTCTTCCTCGAAATTGCGCTGTTTCAGAACTGTGTAAATAGTGCGCAAAGACACAATTCTGTCAACTTCAAACTGACACATTCTCTCCTTGCATACAGACCGGATTCAATCGTGGGCGAAAGCTCACGCGTCCCACCGCAGCTCAGCTCCCCAAGACCTTTCCAAACAACCAACCAACGAGGCCCAGGTCTCGGAGACCGCAGAACCTCGACATAATGGTCAAGTGAAGGAGCAGTCCGGGGACCTGGAAGGTCCACAGTTCAACACCCAAGATGAACAAACCAAAAGCAAACAAGGACTTGTTGTCCGCATGAAACATGGCATCGTCCGTTTTGGAAGACATACCAAGGAAGTTTTGTTCCATAGCTGGGTCAATGTCCTGCTGGTCTTCGTGCCCGTCGGTATCGCCGTCGAAGCGATAGGATTAAATCCGGCGGTGATTTTTGCGATGAATGCGGTTGCCATCATCCCTTTGGCCGGTATACTGAGCCACGCAACTGAGTGTGTTGCCAACCGTCTAGGAGATACGGTCGGAGCGCTCATCAACGTTACATTCGGAAATGCTGTGGAGTTGATTATCTTGTGAGTTGCGATACACCACTTTTTGGCGGGTTTGAACTAACATCTTTTAGCATGTAAGTTTCCATTAACACCTTTTTTGTCTCTCAACCGTAAATAACTTGATTTACCCGACCAGCATTGCACTTGTCAAGGTACACCCCTTTCAAGCCTATCTGATGATCTAGCTAACAACTGCAGAATGAGATAAGGATCGTACAGGCCTCCCTGCTAGGCTCCATCCTAGCTAATCTATTGTTGATTCTGGGAATGTCCTTCCTTCTGGGAGGTCTCCGCTTTCAGGAACAGGTAGGTTACTTCTGAGCGCAATATCAAGCCCCGTGCTGATTGTCTCTAGATCTATAACAGCACAGTTACTCAGATGAGCGCATGCCTCCTAAGTTTGAGTGTCACCAGTCTTCTTCTACCTGTCAGTATTTCGCTGAATCTACTACACATAAACATGCTGATTATGATATGACTAGACTGCATTCCATGCATCTTGGTCGAACAGTGCATCGGCCGACAGAAACACTCTGAAAGTTAGCCGAGGAACCAGTGTGGTAAGCATTGCTCTGATCAGCATATATCTATGATTCTTATATTGTGCAGGTGCTGCTCCTCGTGTATATTCTCTATATCGTCTTTCAACTCAAGTCTCACTCCTATCTTTACGCGAGCATCCCACAGCGTATCATTGACGAAGAGTCTCATCCAGGTGTCCTGGCGGAGTTTATGAACAGCTCTTCCGATTCATCCAGCAGCTCGTCTGATGATTCCGATGACACCACGACGTCATGGACAACCGCAAAGCGCATCAAGCGAGCGATGAGACATCGTAGACGTCGAAAGTCCAGCACCAGCTCCAACCATACTGCCTCTGGCACTCTTAGCAAGAAGCATTCTGGCGATTCAGCCCGTCCAGGGCTGAATGAGAAGAGTGGCTCTACCGAGGGACCAACTTCCAACCATTCAATCGCCATTGATTTTGCGGACGATGGTCACTACGAAGCAGATGATGATAAGCGAATCAACGAGCCTCGCTCGGTTGATTTCGGTTCGCGGTCAATTGGCGATCAGGAAACATCCAAAAAGGACCGCAAAGCGAAGAAGCGAACAAGCAAAAAGCACAAAGCCCGCAAGGAAGACAATGTCAACACCTTGGGCACTGATGCATCGATGCAGCGGCCGTCCCTGCCGTCTCCTCTGTCTGTGCCTGGTCCTGATGGCATCAACTCGCCTCAGCCGGCTGATGTTGCTGCCGCCCTCCCGAAGAGAAAATCTCCATTTCGCCCCGCAATCCCATCTTTACTATCCAATACTGTGTTTTCAAACACTGCCGCTTCGAACAACCTTACCCAGTCTGCTCCAGGAGATCCTGGTCTTCGACGCACGCGGTCTCTTCCTTCTCACATGAATCGTCCTCCCCCAGTTGGAAACGCAGTCCAGTTTGCTAGAGGCGCCGCTCGTATTCCCACTACGGTTGATATCACGGCTGACAATGCTCCTCCTGAACACAAAGAATCCGAGATATCACGCACGGCTGCCGTGGTCATGTTACTGGTGTCAACTGCGCTTGTCGCCGTTTGTGCCGAGTTCCTAGTGGACGCCATCCCAGAAATGATTGAAAGCTCATCGGTCAGCGAGGCTTTTATTGGTCTGATCATCCTGCCCATTGTCGGTAATGCTGCAGAACACGTTACCGCCGTCAGTGTGGCCACCAAGAATAAGATGGATTTGTCCATTGGCGTGTCAGTGGGAAGCAGTATTCAAATTGGTGAGTCTAGCAATATGTCTATGATTTCCGTTTTCTGACAGGTCCTAGCGATTTTCGTTACGCCCCTGGTGGTCATTCTAGGCTGGTGCATGGACAAGGACATGTCTCTGTACTTTACCCTGTTCGAAACCATCTGCTTGTTTGTGACTGCTTTTGTGGTCAACTTTCTAGTTCTAGATGGTCGAAGCAATTACCTTGAGGGAGCGCTGCTTATTGCCGCCTATGTCATCATCAGGTAGGTCATTGCCATTCCTAAAGAAAATGGGCTTATTACTGATTGTACTTCAGTGTTGCGGCCTTCTTCTATCCTGGAAGTGACCAATCTGCCGATATTGCGAGCCCTGGCTCGAGTTGACCGGATTTGCAATGAACCTCGGTGCAGATACGATTCTGCAAACCATCACCGCATGATATATGAGCTTTAGTATCATGACTGATTCCACCTGATATGATCCAGTATGGGTAATACCAGTACAAGTTGAAGCGTCAACTCGCTGCATACTGGCTGGACAACGGTTACGAGTTCCAAATGTATTTACTTGATTGGAATGTCTTCTGGCATCTTTTATTCGTTCGTATATCGCTCACTGCTCATCGTAAACTCTACAAAATCTACTCTAGGCCAGTTTGCGACGCTGAAGCCTAGAATATCAACGCCATCAATGCCCATGACCAGGTCCTGTATGACCCCTATATCGTTTATCTCAAAAGAACAACTTCTTAGCCCCACATCCATCCCTGAACGAAGCGCAGAGGAGCATCTTCCGTCAGGAACATTCCGGAAACTCCAGGACCAAAGTGGGTATCGATAAATGGGTAAATAACAAGAGGGGCCTGTGGCTGGACGCAGTACTGCAGTACAAGGACCACAGTCACAGCCACTCATTATGACACACGTGGCTTGTTCGAAAATACCTCACTCAGTGTCATGCATCCTTCTCCACTAACCGAGTACATAGTATCTACTCTGTCATCAGGCTGCCAACCTAGAAAGACAGCGTTTCTGCCTGATTCTTTGTCCAAGGGCAAGGGGCTATGTGGCTCGTTAAGGCTGAACCCGAACCGGTGTGGCTGGTGGCTAGTAAGAGTCCAGGGGTATCCGATTGGGTGTGGATCGAGAGCTCCACACATCAGCCTTGATGTGGCGCACTGGCGTTGAAGAGAGGGACTGTGGATGTTGTCACTTGTCAGGTGTTTTGGTTCTTGTATTGCTGGTGGACAAGTCATATGCTTAGTGTGGTGTTCGTGATAAGAGAAATGGTCGGGTGTCGTGCAGGATGCCGCGGGAGTTGAGCGGTTGATTGTTGATCTACAAGAAAAAATGTACATTGTGTTAGCTGTCTGTATAGGAATGAAAGTGGATTGGGGATAATATTAGCTGTTCTTATGGCTAGGGAGTTAGGGGTAGTCACCGATTTACTCCGTACTAGGTAGAGATTGTTGATGTTGATGTTCCATTGTCAAACAGAATGTATCTGCCTAATTGCTGCACTATCGACTGTCCCCATCGAAACTAATAGCCCGGTGGATACACGTCTTAGTGCCGACTATCTGCTTCGAATTGATGCATCCGGAACGGCTGTACGCGCCGATTGTATACAAATCACTCAAACTCAGTGATGGTAATTGTAATTCGGAGCGTAGGTGTTAGGAGTATGAAGCATGCGTGCATAGACTGTGTCCCCTCCCCTCCTCAGGACCACATAAAAGGCTCGACGCTGCTCAACTCGCCGTTTTTACTTTCTTTCCCTCCCTGAACTTACCTTGACTACCACATACTACTACATATAAATTGCGAGCAACATGTCCTACTACGGAGAAAGAGATACTTACTACGGCGGCCCGCCTCAACCCACGTACGGCCGTCCTCCTTATGACCGTCCCCCCTACGAGCAACAGCAACACCAACAACCATCCTACAACCGCCCCCCCTACGACATGCCACCTCAGAACTCACCCTCGTACGATCGCCCTCCCTACGAGCGGCCCCCCTACGAGCGTCCTCCCCCCGAGCGCTCCCCATCCTCCTTCGATCCATCCCGCCCCCGCTACGAGGGACCACCCTACAACAGCTCCTCGCCCGCTCCCTCCGCCCGTCCGCCCCAAAACCCCCCACCACCCCTCCCCATCGGCTGGGTCCAAGAATGGGAACCCAGTCTCCACCGCGCATACTTCGTCGAGACGGCAACAGGCCGCTCGCAGTGGGAGACGCCCATGCAGGACTCCGAGCATGCGAGGGGACTAGGCGGGCCCCCGCCTGAGTCGGCAGGCTACTATGCTTCTCCCCCTCCGCCGCCGCCGCAGGACGGAGGCTACTACCCCCCTGCCGGGCAGTATCCGCCTCCGGAAGAGAAGAAGAAGTCCAGCGGGGTGGGGAAGATCATTGCGGGGGGTGTGGCGGGTGTAGCGCTCGGTGCGGCTGGTATGGCATTGTGGGAACATGAGAAGCGTGAGTTTTGCTTTGCTGCCGGTGGGTATATGTGATAGGTTGCTGACTGACTTGTATAGGTGAGGATGAAGAGGAGGAGGAGCTCAAGGAGCGGGTGGAGAGGTTGGAGGAGGAGCAGTACCGTTCTGGCTCGAGTTCGGATCATGAGCGGGCTCACTCGCCTGATTTGGATGACTGGTAGTGGTATGGGTGAGGATCAGACGCATTGCTGCTGGTTTTCGATGGTTTTTTGTACGCTTGCGAGCAAGGTCTCCGAGTAATTGGTCATCGGTGGTGTTTATTTTGTTTGAGCGGAGAATTATCTCAAATTTAAGCAAGGCGATGATGTCATAGCAGTAGTAGCACATGCTCCGCGGGATCAATCACTTTGAACAATCTCTATCGGCCCATCCAAAGTACATTCATCTAGAACGATACTCAAAATGCCAAAATATGTGAGTTAATTTGAATTGTGTCCATGATTTCCCAGATAACCCAAGCAGAGCCTTGTCATTCAATACGACGGCGTCGAAGCATGGCAGAAACACAGTGGCGAGATTGAACGAATGTATGTACGATCAGCGATCGCGTCTGGATTTGCAACTGATACGGTGACAGTACGAAGGACGGGTTCGCAGCAAAAGGGGCAGATAAGTTCACGTTTTTTATTTCGACGAGAAGTCTCCCTCCTATACATACTACTTCGTATGGTTTTCTGTTTTGCTGCGATGTTGGAGATATTGCTGACTGGGGCTCAAGATTCGTTGTACCCGATAATGTTACCCTGGAGGAATTGAAGGAAGTGCAGTTCCCAGAGGGTGTCTCCGTGCAGTTACATCAGGAATCTTAAACTATTATTGTCATACTACCACTTGTTCATGGTCGTGTCGATGATGATGCTAGATTATTTCCAGATTATTTCCAGCATAGAATTTCCCCATGGAATAACCCAAACCAAGCTTGATCGTTCTTGACAAAGTCCCTCCATCCATTCGCGATCCTTTCCAACTCCCCCTTCGTCGCATATCCCTCCTCCACAGCCATCTTCGAAAACCCACTCGATCTCATCCTCGCTTCCATTGATCCACCCCAGTACTCCCTTTCCTCAGGACTACTGAAGCACCATGCCCCAGCACTTTTCTTGATTTTCGTCCTTTTAAACCCGGCTTCCTCTGCCCAAACATGGATATACCGGCCGGGATGCGGATTGCCCCCCTTCGCTTTACCCATACGACCTGTAACCTCTTTCCATCCGTCGATTCCCGCGTTGTCAGGGTACCACGTCATTGATGCCGACTCCCTTGCCGCAACAATCCCACCGTCACTCTTCGCAACCCGGCGCATTTCCCGTAGTGCACGTACTGGGTCCGCGATGTGCTGTAACACCTGGTGAACATGGACGATGTCGAAGGTGTCGTCCGGAAAGTCAAGTGAGTGGATGTCCCCGACGCGAAAGTCGATGTTTGTGATTCCCTGTGCGGAGGCGAGGGATCGGGCTGCGTCTAGCGGGTCTGCGACGTACTCGATCCCCGTGACGTGGCCTTGGGGGACGAGCCGCGCAAAGTCGACACTGATGCTGCCCGGGCCGCAGCCTATATCAAGGATTTTCATGCTCGGTTTGATGTAGGGGACGAGGTAGGCGGCAGAGTTGGTTGCGGTGCGCCAGCTGTGGGTTTGGAGAACAGAGGGAGAGTGGTTGGTGATGTAGACGGTTTTGTTAGACATTGTGGTTGTTGGTATGTTCAGAGATTGTCAATTGAGGTGAGAAGGAGTCTACTTTGTCAAGAACGGGAGAGCGAGAGCGGTTTTATGTCGAGCCGTACGATGTTCCAGAGGACACTGCCGATTCCGGTGTTCCGATGGTTGCTCTCGGAGTTCCGTAGGACTTTAACAACCATGGATATGCGCGCAGACTGCGAACAACATCATACCAAACTCGTCCACCCCCCGAACCCATTTTCCGATCCTTTCACGTCGTTCAGTCGACCCAGTCTCGGCTGATCGCCATAACTCGGATATTTCCAGCATCCCATCTTCCCATTCCAGGAGGTGCCGGTCATACTCCTTTTCCCATACTCCTCGGTCTGTGGCTTCCCATAGTACCTTGCTTTGGGGGACATAGACCCCCTTCATCTCGTCAGCCACAAAGTTTGGTAGACCCCGATCCGAATTGTAAACACTGCTGAGCAGGTACATCGTGTAAATGGCGCGACGTTTGGCCGAGACCACGATCCATGATTCCCAATTTGGCCGCGTATGAGTTATCTCCGCCGTACACAATAGGCCATTCTGAGCAGTACGAAAGGCAAGCTCCATTAAGGTCATCATGGTTTTATCGGTTACTGCGGATACGTTGCCGAGAGGGCTGAAGTACATCAAGATGGTATAGACAAGGTAGGCTTGGAAGGAACATAGGAGGTCGTAGTCATGTTGACTCGTTGTCTGTACAATCAGTTTAGAATCCAAAGGGACCTGAGAGAAAGCTTACCTCACTTGCCAATCTTTCCATCTCAGCCTCCACAGTGCCCATCACCATCCTCTCGCTTCCTGGAGCCGCTTGCTCCCACATTCGGACAAGGCTGTAACAGTTGGCCAGAGCTTGTGGCATCTGATTCGTATTGACTTGCGTATGATGTATAACTGGTGGAAAACTGCCATCCTTCAGCATATACCGCGGATATGTCTTGAGGATAATGGAGATGTATTGCAACGTAAATGGATGGTAGGCCTTGGGAATCTCATCACGTCCGAGAGGAGGGAGAAGATACGGTCTCAGCCATCTGTCTCGAATATCTACAGCGTTTAAACTAGGGGTCAAGTCGATATCTGTCAAAACGAGATCGAGGCGTTTGGGCTGTCCGCTGGTTACAGCTCGAGGATGAGGAGACCTGAAAGCCGCAGCTGGACCGGATTCCGGTATCAAAGACGCAGGTTCTGGAGCTACAGCAGTATCTGCAAATTCCTGTATACCAAGAAGTGGTGTATAGTCTTTTTCTGCGCCGTTAGCGGTACCGGTGACCTCAGTCTCAGGTGCAGCGACGCGCCCCGGCGGATATTGGCAACTGCGACCTTTCGACTTGCATCGCAAACAGATAGGCTTTTCCAGTCCACATCGTACTTTGGATCTGGTGCAATTCTGACATGCCTTTTTCCTTGGAGGTGCTCGCTGTTTCCCTTTGTTGGGATTTGTGCTATATGGAGACGATCTCATTGTTAGTTGATGATGATAGTTGTCGGCTCGATGGTTCGAAATCGGAATCCCGATGGGGAGTGGAGTGGGGTTCACGGGAGGCGTAATGGCTTTTCCTGATTCGGACGCCAGAGGGAACGGAGATATTACCGCAACTGATAATCTTGCTTGCATGTCGAGCTTACAGTTCTGGGGCCGGTCCAGTTGGATTCTCGAAACAGGTTGCAATTTGGCTTGCGCATTGCTCTTACTGTTTGGCAGAGAGTGATCACCACAACTCCATGCCTGCTATTCTTGCCCTACTAGTTGCCAGTCTGTGCTTGGCTTATGCTACATGCTTTTCTTTTTCTTTTCTAAACTGGAGATAGGGACGAGTGCGCACCTTATATGCCTATATATTGTTTATCAGGGACATATTGTGGCTACTTAGTCTGGAAATAACTATCTTCTTCCCCTGAAATACAGCACCATCTCGCGCAGGGCTACCAAAAGTATACTATCCATGGATACTAGCATAGTAGAGATATCTATGCCACTGTAGTAGTCATACCTTAAGACCACTCGCCAGAGATTGCTGTGACCCGCGCCTGCAGGGTGATTAGCATCTTAGCAGCGGAAATACAATAGGTAGTGGAATGCACTTACAACCATACGGTCGAGGTCTGCTGGTCCAACAATTAAGGATGCCCCAGTCCCCGATCTTCCCTCTTGTATGATTCTGTAAAAACGAGCACCGGGTGCAGATCGTTCACAATGTTCTGCCAAGCGGGCTCCCTCTCTAAGTATTTCGAATCCCTATTCATGGGATACTAGTCCGCAATCAATCCTTCCACTGTTGTCCCCGACCATCGACTTGATACCCTTGTGGCAGTTCCGAGAACTGCATGTATTTTAATTTGAATCTCTTCATAATACACAGTTTCAAGTGCGCGAATAACAGCGGCAGTCCCAATATCGTGGTAGAGAAACGTGCTCGAGGTGAAAATTGCTTCACGACGGCTTGCGGCTAACGTCTTGATGTCAGGGTATGCTCACTTGAAAATGGATAGGGAGAGCTTGAAGAAGGTGATCCACATATCTGTTATGTTAGTTCGACCTGCCACTTTGAAATTGGGGCATCATGGGCTTACTCCGCATGGAGATGGGTGGAAATACGCAGCAAACGTCCGTATCATCCCAGCTAAGTAGCTCCGAGTGGAGCCACCCTTTCTCGTAGCAAAGACAAATGCCGTTTTAAATAGTTAGGCATTTATATAGTTAGGAGTGATGAATAGTAAAGCAGTAGTTAAACGGGCCGGCCCATCGTGGTCGTGCGAGGCGTAGAGCCTCCCAGAATGCTGCGTATGAAATTCATTATGATTGAAGAAACACACAGGTTGGCAATGATAACAGGCACCCACCAGAAGTGGTTTCTGTCCCCGGCCAGGCGCACTTTCCCAGGAGTTTAGTAGATATGAGTCGTAATACGTGATACTGAGCATGGTAGGCACGAACGAAATTGATGGGAGCGGATGGTCCAATGACGAAGGTATGACGGGGTCGAACTGTATGATAGATTCCTCATAACTTCATAGAGTAAGGTTTTTGGCTCCTGGAGAGCTAGTATGCATGTACGCGTCGCCAGGCCTGACAAACCCAGGTGATATGGGTCGGGTACGGCTCCTCAACGTAAGTGCATTTCCCTTATAAAATCAATATAACCAAAAACATAAAATTACCCAACAATCACAAAGGGAAGAGATAGTATATCTCTTATATAGCCTATTTACATGCACCCAAAGAAGCCTGTAGGAAGACTATATATAAATAAGGTACCTCATAGTTACATTAAATGGCAAAATACGTAGCCGACCCGCACCATTAGGGTGTGGGTCGGCCCGTGGTAACAAGTAAGAGGTGTCCAGCTTGTTATCATCACATGGCGTATCGCTACCTTTGTCATGGCAAACCTGAACCAAACGCAGAAGGGAACGGGGTAGTTTTTCTGTGCCATGGATTGACAAGACACTCTGTGATTATGACTTGACGCCGTTCTTCTTGTTGATACCAGTACCTGAGCAGCACAGACAGACGATCGCGTTCTGAATAGCGCGTCCGCCCTGACGCGTTCATTTCTGGCCTCCAAGCTCATGGCAACATGTACTCCACTTTGAGTCCCTATATATCACCTTTAAAAGTGAGACACACATCGGTATGGCGGAGAAACAAATACATATCCTCCTTGTGCACGTCGCATAACTCTCGCTATCTTTCGGTATCATACCCGGGCAATAGGAATTGCATCAGAAAGATATTATACGCGTTTGACCCCGTCGAAAACCAATCCGCTGCTTCTGCACGATCCTGCTTCTCCTTTCTCAACCCTCAAGCTGTCGCGAACTCGCCCGAACTGCGACATGCAAATTGCATTGTTCCGTCTAGTCTGAAAATACCATGGGTTACATCATTCCCTGCCTCGCTGCAGTCCAAGTACTGGACGGAAGCGGAAGAGGCTGCGAGAGATTTGCTACGAGCGATCTTTATCACGCCGTCACGGAATGTCTCCGAGAAGTACATCGAAGCCGTGATCGACGCGGCTGTTTCATTCACTGTGAATGTTGTCCCAACAGGAAGCGTATCGAGAACGAGAGCTCTGGCGAGGGCTTATACGCTCGTCTTCATACATGATGGTAAGTAAAGCCGTCAGTGTAGTGTGACGAATCTGACCACTGTTTATAATGCTTCAGATGCTGTTGAGTCGGGAAATGTATGACCCGGTGCCATTCCTATCCAGATGTTTCAGTGCTTATCAATAACAGTTCGATGCAACCATTCCGAATATGTATAACAATAATGAGCGACATTCTCACACCGCATTTGATATGGTAGCCCAGGAAGTCATGTCTGAGGACACTGCGCAAGGCAGGAGATTTCTGGACGGTATGATATCATGGGGATCCCTGCCACAGGCGATACAACCCAGCAAAGCCTTCCCGACACTCATGAACTACGTGAAGTACCGGATAGAAGATGTGGGGGCTGAGTAGGTTACTCTGATCCTTCGCTACGCGGCGGCTAATTGGTCCCAGCCTCGTCTTTCGCAGCGTGGAATTTGCATCGGATATCTGTGTTACAGATCGCGACGAACAAGCTCTTGAACGCCTGAGTTCCCTCTGCGCGAAACATTGTGCATTATCCAACGATCTATACTCGTATCCTAAGGAAGTCATCGCCGAAAAGGAGAACGGAGAAACTCTTCTTAACGCTGTCAAGGTCGTCCAGGATTTGATGAATGTTTCCTCTTCGTCGGCCAAGTCGATTCTTCGCGGTATTATATTGGATACCGAGCGGCAGATAGGCGAGGAATATGAGTCTCTTGTCAACTCGAAGAGTACGACAACATCGCAACTGGTCTACGCTCGGGGATTGATCATCGCTGTAGCAGGGAACATGTTCTTCTCGGCTACGAGCTATCGTTATGCTAAAGCTGTCGATGGATCCAGGCTGGTGTAAATAGTCAATATTACAAAGGTGTGCATATCAATGAGATTCACATATTTTTCACTTCGTTCAACCATAGCTTCATCTCTATGGGAACCGCATCTGCGACGAGCCTATGACGAATCGATGATTTTTCTGCCGCAAGCACTGGTAAAGCTTAAGTCAATCACGCATAATGCTGTCACAACCAAGCAGGACACCTGATGGTAAACTGAGCATGTACCTTGGGTATTCAATTCATGGCCTCGCTTCTCGCTTAATTCGCGCTAGGCGAAAACGGCTAGTCCCACAATTGCGGCCCGGCCAATTTAAATTTCCCGCCTCTCCCCACTCAGCTCTTATCTCCTCCACCCTCTCCTGCTCCACCTCACCTGCCATGTCTCTTGAGTCCTGAGCAGGACATACGACAATCAAGCTCTGTGGAATGTATAGCAGATGCTTGAATCTCATTTAGAAACTGTCTCTTTTATTTCATTGTCTAGATGATGTCTAGCAACACTCCTTTTTCTGTATCTCTCAGCGTAGTCGCGTTTCACGTCTCGTGTCTGTGTTGACGCGTTTCGAGCTAGGTCTCCGTGTTTCAATCGACCTCTTGTTTCATTCAATGTGTTCTCTCTTATTTTGTTTCCTTCCTTATTCCTTTCTCATCCTTTTGTTCCAAGGGTATTACACCCCGGCGACGACAAGTTCCCTCATGAACTCATGAGCGGGTGTCGGTTGCTGTATGCCTCTAATACCCAAATCTATGGGATACCAATAAGCATGTTGGCACAATCTGAATCATGTCGTGTGTCAGCATGAAAGTCAGTATCCTACATTCCTCAAACCAACCCCGGGTGGCGCGTTGACAGAGCGTGCTGGGTGGCCAAGACCATTGCCCCGTCTTGTGCAGTGGGTTCGATTCCCACCATGGGTAGTTGTCTCTGTCGTTAACGGCATGGTTCCATGAGGATTGACAAACTTGAAGCTGACTCCGCTTCGTTTTCTCCTTGCCTCACTGCTCGGCTGATATTTGCTACTATGCGTGGTTTTGAGGACGTCTGGCTTCTTGTCTCCCTCCGCTTGGCCTTTTCCTCGTTTCACTGCTCGGCACTTTCGGCTATTGTACGTGATTGAAGGAACTGAATTTGTTTGCCTCTGTTGGCTCAGTTGATACGTTTGACCCTGGACGTACAACTCATTCAAATATGTCACAAGATTCGTCGGTTGTCTGTTTCTGCATCTTTTCTGTGAGCATGGTTGTCGAGTCTTCACGTCGGCCTCGCACGTATTCTCCGGCCCCGGATGACAGCCGTTGTGTCGATTGACATTGTTGACTTGCTACTGCTCGCATTGAGTTTGAGTGCATGATCTTCAACCTGACCTGGTTACCGTCTTTTTCTGTTCCCGGAGCGAGGCTTCTCTCGTTTGTAACATGAGTAGGACGAAAGGTAGTTGAACGAAGGCGGTGTCCTTGCTATCCTGCCTACGCGGGATTGTGCGCGACCTGAGCCTGGTTTCATCAAGGGAGTTGACACTGTCATCATGGCACTGCCTTTGACAAGTTGAACATACGCCTGCTGCCTGATCAGAGTCATACGAATGTGCTTCTTGCCATTGTCGCATCGGGGTAGCAGCCAGCCCCATTGCAGAAACGACGGCATCAAAAGCAAAAAGAAATAGGAGTTCGAGAACATCGTGTCCCATGTTACAGCGAGCGTGCGTTCTTCGTATGCCCACATGGCTCGACCGACTAGTACTCTATATATGTTTCTCCGACCGATCTCTGAATCAATCTTGCTGATGCCTGACGTTCAGGCGCTTGTATGCGAGGTTGTTGGATAACGGAACGACCAAAGACGTTATATATAAGGGCCGCCGGTTGTGTTGATGCCTGACATTCAGGCGCTTGTATGCACGGCCACAGGTCTCATGTATTGACGACTCGACTTCCGAGGAGATTGGCACTCACGCCATGCTATTGTTTTGGTGGATTGCATCGTGCAGTCTCACGCACAATACTGGCAGCGTCTTCGTTTTGCCGCCAAGGTATGATAAGCAACTGGTTTCTCTTCCTATTGGGTCTCCTCGAGGCTGCATGGAACTTGGGATACACCGGTGTCTACCGTCGGCGCTGCAAACACTGCCTACTTCGCGTTCGCCGCGAACCGCCTATCTACTGTACCTAGACCTTGCCTTCGGTTGGTACTCGCCATGGCTCGCTGTCTCGACTGGCGTCTTAGCAGTTCCTTTACCCATCGGAGCTCGGAATTCCGAGTTCAAGAAATTTATTTTTAATCATTCGGATCTTTCCGAATGTGCGGGCCATGCGGGTTTCACTTTTTTGTGGGTTGTCGGTTGTGTGGGCTTGCGGCTCTGAGGGTCCTGGGGGATTTGGGTAGGAGTGGCGAGCAGGGTTCGACTCCTTGTTGGCAGCGCCCGGCTGGGGGCAAAGCACCTCCTTCCCGTCGGTCTCGAGCCGGCAAAAACTAAAAACAATATCGCTGCTATTACAGTTTCCTATTTTTGCCATTGAGGATCGTTGGGCATGCTAACAATACTTGTTTTAGTCCCATTGTTCAAAGGTCGACTTCCATCCCTCCGCCTCTTCGTTCCAAGACACCTTGCAACCGTCCCCGGACATGGTCTTCCGCCCACTGAAACGATCAAAGAAAAACTGGTAAAGATTCACGATGGACGGGGATACTAGTGGATGTCTTCTTGTTGTCAGTGGTTGACGTGACATATGGGTCCGTAGCGTTCCTGGCGGATTTAGGCTCCTCTGTCCATAAGTCCTCACCCACCTGGTAGCATTGATGCACAATCACCTTTGCCGCATGACCGTCTCGGGAGCATTTTTCGATTCCGTGGCTTCTCTCAGGAAGTTGTTGTTGAGAACGAATTGACGCTCCTCTTTAATACTTTGCAGCAAGGCTCTGTCCCTTCCATGAATGACTGCAGAAAGCTTAGATTGCTTTGGTATTCCCTTCATGATTGCGGCTCTAGTAGCAGGACTCCGATGTTCCAAGCACGAATTCTTGTCGAAGTTTTCGAACTCTCCATGTTCGGGGCCCATATTAATGGCCTTTCTAAATTGACCACTGACGGGTCGTCGACATGGCACATTGGATTGGACAGATCATTGCCGTGACCGTGTCACAGGAAGTATCTCTCGTAGACAGTGTGTAGGTACTTTCTCATTTGTCTCTTTATCAGGGTACTATACTGGTAGAGGTCTTCACTTCAATTCGTATTCCTCGACTTTTCCGAATCCTTGAGGATCACCACATCATGCATATGGTTACAATGCAATTGACTCGAGGAAATATATATTGTCAGTGCGTCGCGGCCAGTTTCTACTCCCGATGTTGAATGGCATCGGCTGCAAATAATGAATCGACGGGCTGGAACTGAGGCTTGATTCCAGCGCAGACGCAAAGTAAAACATCATGAATATACATCACTTCACCTAGTCAATACATAAAACCACTTAAGGCTGTATCTTCAAAATATGTATACTCTACAACCAGAGCAGTGTCCATCGGGCCAAAGATACTTCCCAACACGAGGAATAGAGTTGATATCAGGATACAAATCCAAACTCCGCAGTCGTTATGGACCCGCCTGTGGCGCGAACTGGGACCACTGAAAATCTCTGCAAATTAGACTTTGGAACTCCTTAGGTCTAGCGAACTATCATCTTCCATCTGCCGTCTTGATCTCCTGAAGAAACTTGTCAAGTCCTTCTTACTTCTGCTACGCCCCTTGTAGTATTTCATTGGCAAGCATTGAATACGGTCGCAAACGAGGACATCCAATTCAACACATCACCCTCGCAAATCGTCGAATCCTCATACCCGAACAGGAGCGAGAAGAGAAATTTATTCGCAACTGACATTTTTCGCTCACTGGTAAAAATCTTTCCAGCATGATAGTTTGCGTGTAAAAATGGATGACGATATGAATTATAAATCTAGACTAACATTACTAACTACGGACGCGTAGCTCAGTTGGTTAGAGCGACGAGCTTATGAGGTCGTTTGTGATCCTCGTAGGTCGGGAGTTCGACTCTCCCCGTGTCCATGTTTTTTACCATTTACTTTTTACAGTAACCCTTTCTTACCGACCAATTTGAATTATTCACATGTATCATTGCTTTCTATTTCATGGGATTTTGTTATGAATCAGGTTACTCTGGCCGATTACTGCGTCTGTTGCAAATCACGTGACGCTCTGTTGGGATTGACAGTTCTCCGCCCATCCTTTTGACATGCTGAGGCTCAGACTGAGGCGTACGGTGTAGTAGCATACCGATACCGCTTTATTATGCCCTTTGACAGAAGCATATCTCGTGCTGGAGGTCAAAGGCCAAACAAGCTTCGATGAAATATGCGACACTGCTGTCAATCTCGATCCTGGGATGCAGGCATGTTCATCGGCATAATCAATATGCTTTGCCCAATTTGCTTGGAAGTCGACAGGTTGTCATTCAAGACCTAGGGATCATGGCTCTAAAACTCTTGCTGATTCAAATGGGACTAACAGACAAGCATTTACTCTACAAGGCTACGCTACTTGGAAGGAAGGCAGGCACTGACAAGTATACAGAGATATCAATTATTAAAACTATATTGCGTACAGACGGATCCAAGCCGATGAACCGGATCCGACGGTGGATTAACAAGTACAAAGATCGGATGGAAAGGCGACAAGCCCGATGGTGTCATTGCCATTGTCCTCGCGTAACGCTCTCATGAACCGATCGTTGGAACCCTGGTCTTGCCTCGTGAATGATCATCATCAACGTTCCCATCGCATCATTGCGTTGCTCTCCGCCGTCCGCCGTCCGACTTGTGTTTTGACTCATAAAAAGAGTCAACAGTGAAAGTCAGAAAGGGGGGCGCTTAGAAAGCGACGGCGATGGCGGCAGCGACGACGGCACCGCCGAGAGAGTAGCTGAAGTGCTCCTTGCTGGCGGCGCCAGTGGCGAGGAGGTTGGTGCTGGTGGAGGCAGTGGCAGAGCCAGTGCTGGAGCCGGAGCCGCCCTTGGTGGGGGTAGCGCTGGTGGAGGGGGTAGCGGAGGCGCTGCCGGAGGCGGTACCGGTGGGGATGACGGCGGTGGAAGTGGCCGTCTTGGTGACGGTGCCGGTGGCAGTGGAGGTCTCGGTGGCGGTCTTGGTCTCAGTGGCAGAGGCAGAAGAGGAAGCAGTGCCGGTGGAGCTGGCGGCGTCCTTGTAGGCGTCGATACCCTTCTGGATGGCGGCGGTGATGCCAGCGGAGAGCTGAGCGGCGATGTCGGAGAGAGACTCGGGGACCTTGGCAGAGATGGCCTTGGCCAGGTTGTCGGCGGCGGTGTACTGGGCCTGGAGGTCCTGGTAGACGGTGCCACCGGCGTTGGCGGCGACGAACTGGTCCTTCTTGGAGATGAGGTCGCTGACGACGCCCTCGACCTGCTTGGTCAGGTCCTGGACGGGGGAGGTCAGAGCCAGAGCATCGCCGGTGCTGAGGGCAGCGCCGTTCTTGACGGTGTCGACACCGGAGTTGATGGTGCTGACGAGCTTCTCAGAGGCGGACTTGACGGCGGAGGGGTCACCACCGTTGTAGGAGGAGACGGCGGAGGCCAGAGCAGAGGTCTGGGCCTGGATGTCGGAGATGACACCGACGGCACCTCCCTGACGAGAGACCAGAGTGGGCGTGGCCAGGGCACCGGTGAGGCCGAGAGTGACGAGGAGGGCAGAGAAACGCATTTTGACCGACGAAAGGTGGTATTATAGATTAGTGGTATCTAAAAAATGTAGTTGTATAGATGGACAGAATCGAGTGAGCCAAACGAATGGGATCGACCGAGCAAGCGAAAGACTGGATCTGATTTTTCTTCTCTGGGATCTGAGAGACAAAGAGGAAGAAGGGATCGAGCAGTGACCTGGGAGGTTGTATATATAGGGCCTGGTACAGGGATTTAAGATTAAACCTCACATGCACGGGGGGAAGTAATCTACGGACTTGGACTTGGGACCGAGGAAAGTTCGCGATCAGGGGCAGCTTCCCGGATTCTAGCCATGGATGACTATTCTTAGATCTTAGCCACTTCCTACGAGTACGTACTGCACCGGACTCTGATGCTACAGTAGGTACTTTCGAGTCTTTCGTCGCCAATCACGAATGAGTGACCGGGATCCGGGGAAGCGCAACGAGGGATTAATCATTGTCTGGATGGATGGGGTAAGATCAGCGGTCTGGACTCTGTTTGATTCGAGTCGACAGTAGGACTATGGTCTGTTGATCCTCAGCCTTGGTTGCTACTAGATGGCTTGAGAGGACTGAAAAAGCAGACGAACCACCACACAGTCATACCCGAATAGGACAGTCCTCCGTGAGCTACCATGTTAGCGCTGTAACATTGATCTTTTTCGCGTTCGAGATTGGTAGAGTCCCTGCACTAAGGGCCTAGTCCATACGCACTAAGTGATAAACAGTAAGGACTGCCTAGCACCTCCAAACCCCAGGCCCGCCCCCAGATCCTCATTTGCTCCTCTATCGGAACTCGGGTTCGTCCTAAGCGATGTTGTTTAGTGCGGGTGGTGAATGACTGGATGACGGGAGAAGAGTGAGACAATGGAGAATGTTACCCCGCAGCCCACTCGCACTGGCTCTTTCCATGATTCTGTTGGTTGATCTTCCCTCGCGGTTTCAGTGGCAAAGTCCAATTTTTTAGTCACTTGATGCACACTATCGAGCACAGAGTCAAGGATCCGGAAATTACTTACTCAATTCTATCCATAAGATGCCTTACAAGGTGGTGTGATGTTGGTTCAGATTGCCTAATAATAATGCAAGTGATCTCTTTCCCCATTGCTCTCCCGAGACACCAAATGCTTCAGTTTGGGATCTGCATCTGGTCTCATTTCTTTATCAATGCGTCTGATCTCCGATTTCGATACTACCTAAAACGCGATGGAGTTACACGCTCTCACTTCGATCTCGAGATTATCGTATTACCCCATATTTCCCCTCGGAAATCCACCTCGGTTACTCGTGCCTGGCCGCGGAGCCTGGGACCCTCTCTGACTGTAAGCGCAATGGCGATGTGGCGGAAGTTCGGATCCGCCAAGCGTACCAGCCGGGGTGCCTGGCAAGGAAAATTTCCGTGCGCACTTTTGAGCTCCTCAAATTACGAGTGCCGCTGTTAACTACTCAGTACTGTAATGCCTTGGAGGCAGTACCTGGCAAACAGCTGTCATTCCTCGATGATGATTGGTGGTGTGCATTCGCACAGGTACATGGTAGTAAATGAGTGTCAATAGTAAGACCTGACCAATATCGGCATCAAGTCCGCGGTAGCTCCAACTAGGATTACAGACTACAGCAGAGTGGGTTCAGGATCAGACTTCAAGCTGCAGGAGCCGTGCACAGTCTCAGCTTTGACTGAGCTTAGTCCAAAATACCAAGCTGTCTGCCATGATTCAATAGTTCGGCTGACTTGCAGTAAATCAGGTTTTGGTGGCACGAAGGACTGGGCTTGAGAGTCGGCTTTCTCCTTTGAAGATTGATGCCCATTCTCGAAACTTCGACTTATGCCTCCTAAACCCCTCGATACATGCATGACGTTCTTAAGTCTGGAATCTGGATACTCTGTAAATTCGCCATACGAACGTCGCCCTTATTGTTCCGGTCAGTCGCGAGACATTCGCACAGCTTTCCCAATGAGACATGGTCTGTCCTGGCGACAAAATTGCGCAATTATTGATTGGGCCCCAAGACCTCGCCAGGAGCAGGGGTGGCGGCCGTTAGGGCCGACTCTTAGCCAGGGCAACTGATGCAAGGACTAGTCAGAACATAGAACGGGAGCAGAATGGTGGCGATAATACGCATTTTAATTCCAAGTTCTCGCATAGGGTTTCTTAGGTCTGCGTTGGTCAGCCGCCAACATCCGCTAGACCAGCCTCCGTTTCTGCGACTCAGCCAAGGGACTAAAACGGTTACTTTGCGGCGTTGACAGAGTTGAATGCTTAGCGCTCCTTTTGGTTTGTTCTTTCTTTCTCGTATCAAAGATCGTCATTGGTCGCCCCTTAATATAACCTGTTGGAGGAGAGTTGATGACACGAAGAACGGAACGTTGTCGTCAAATGGCATCATATCTGGATAACAGAGGACATGTGATCGTCTGGCCGTTCGGACGGGCCTTAATGTAGTGGCAATGGGTGGCCTAACGATCCTTTACAACAGTTGGATGCATGTCAGGTCCCAGAAAGCGTTATGTTGTTGCGGCCTTGCGAGATGCTCAAATTCAGGTAGTGTCTCATACTCTGGCTTGAGCGAGTTCATGGATGACTGACCTTAACTGACACGTCGCTCGAAACAGGATCATGGCGATCATACAAGGCCTGGTCGAGGCATCCCGCCCTGTGTCGCAAAATTAGGGCAGGAAGACGGGAGTTTGATCATCTTTGAGCTTCAAGACAGCCACAAGCAATTTTCCAATCGCGTTGGAATTGACTTACGGCACTTCCATCCACCATCGTCTTCTCCCACGCAGGAATGTCTGCCTTCCAATTTGCGATTGCTCAAAGAAGATGGGTTCACCTTTGGAAGGTGATTTGTCGGAGCCTTGAAACGCCAAGCGGAAACAACCACAAATTCTCAATAGCCTGAAACCAACCTGGCTTTTGTCTTGACGGGGTATTATCTTCTCCCAGTACACGGTGACAGAGTACGGAGTAGAGCAGTAACAAAGCCAGATTGGTGGCTACCAATCTGATTGCCTCAATGGCAACTCGCTCGATGTGATCTGATCCGATATCGCGGTGGTTGCCTTGTTTCGCAGAGACAAATGACCACCTATTTGGCAATTTCCTGATTACTGCTCGTTATCAGGATCGGCTTAAGACCGGTGGTGCATGGACTCGCTAATGCTCAGGCGTCTCCCAAGTGTTTGCCTGAGTTTCGCGGAAAACAATAGGTCGATTAACAGTACTTTCACCCACAGGAACAAGCAGGCGATACTTACAGCAGTCAATGGATGCTAACCGTCAATAGCAGGGTCCTTCTTTCAATGAAGGGGCCTCTGCATCTTGGAACTTGACGCGCTGTCATGTAGAGCTCCGGAACCAGCGGGTTCAAACTCAGCACGGGTGCATGGTCGATATCGGAGGCAGCAGCATCGTGATGCCCGCACAACTTTCAACTCTCCTCCATCGCACCTGGGCGGATGCAATGAGGTATACTCTTACAGTGCTTGAGTGCTTGTCAAAGGGCGATTGACGTCTCATACATCTCCTGCAATATCTCGAGCTCCTCTCCGTTTCTCGATCTCGACGAACCGTTTAGAGGGCACAAATACGGCGATGTATCTCTCAATTTGGACACCACGTCCTCCTTGAAGGAGTCCATAAGTTTTCTTCAGTCATGATAGACTCGACCGTGCGATCGCGCTTTTCGCCCTGGAGCCCATCCGTTTCGATTTGGTCCATTGTGTTTATCCGGACTGGGTGCTACCTGCTTCTTCCCCTGGGTTCTTAACCTCGATCAAAAGCGATGGCCGTCGCATTTCATCCACGGTACACTCTCATCCCTCCCTGTCATCCTGATGTTCGCAGGGTTTTCGATAGACCGGGCAAGGAGCCCTTCGCTCTTTTTTGCACTGATTCAGTACTTTTACTGAATCATGCAAACGGTTAGCCAACCTCTGTGATCGTATATCCCACAAAGGAGAAACTCCAGGAACATCTATGTGCGCGGTCATGTCCATCCTTCCGGTTCCATCCATGTCGCGCTTGGCACGCCTGTATTACTGTCAAACGTCAACGCAACGCAAGTTTTCATTAAGCATGTATTTTGCTCTACCGTGGGGGCTGCTCGCAGGATTTGAACCAGTCGCTCCAGCCATTCCTTTCTGCACTTATTGACCCCTTCTCGCCTGAAGGGTGCGGGCATTGGACGGCTGATGGTCTCCAAAGAGCAGATTCTTGATCAGGGTCGAAGTTCTCACACGTAGTCATTCAATCCAGCGACTAAACTTCCGTAGGCAAATGTTCTGCTTCAGGCAGGAGAGGGAAGGGAGACCTGTCGATCACGGTATTCGTTAGCCATGCATCGTGTAGCGATATCACCTTACTGAAATATTACCTATATCTCTTTGTAGAACCCCCTAAACAGCCTTCCATAGTCATACCTTCTTACCCGTGGAGTCGGCTGTGCTTCTTTGCTGTGAGATAATGGATCTGACATCCTAGAAACTTGGTAAGCTCGTTATTTATGGTATAATACCGTGTTGCGTCTTTGTCATGATGACTAGGCATAATAGCTCGATGGATTGCTACAGCTCATATTTGTGAGCGCGAAAGACATGTTATGCTGAGCCCATGTGATGTGCGGTGGGGTGTCAACTCATAGATAAGCAACCAAGCACTTGATAGGCAAGGAGTCTCTTGATAGGCAGTAATTCTCACTCGAGCAAGTTGATTTTTTGATCCATCATTGGTAGACTGGGAGGTATCGCTCAGCTCCGTGGCAGATCAGAAAGAGGGGCTCTTCTTATGCTCCTTGCACCATTGTTCCGAGGATTGATATATATCTTCACGCTTCCGTATGAGGCGTCACTTTATACATAAATACAGTAGTCAACTATAGCAAATTGGAAAATCGAGATATGAAGAAGCGTTTATAAGGATATATATCTAGTTTGGAGACACATTGGAGAGTTATCTCCTCGTTAAATCTATGTCTGGACTCTCAAGACATAAGCGAC